GGCGGGGGGGGGGGGGACTCATCACGCCCGCTGCACGCCGCCGCCCCTTTGCTCACCACACACACACTCCCCAGACCCCCAGCCTGCACCTACGCAGAGGCCTGATACCCCCCTCCCCCCCCCCCCACCCCTCCCAAAATTCGCAGGCATCCTGCTGCACATGGTTTCCGCCTACCAGGTCTTTGGCCAGCCCATTTTTGACACCATCGAGTCCCACATCAAAGCCTTCCACCTGAAGCGCGCCCAGGCCGCCGCCGACGCCGAGGCCCTCGGGAAGGGAGCGGAGGAGCTGCGGCGCATGTCGGCGGCCATGCAGGCCAAGCACCGGGGGGCCGCGCCCGGGGACGCGGCCCCTGTGCCCCGTGCCGAGGGCAGCTTCCTGCGCCGCATGTCCCCCGCGGTGTCGGAGCGGCTGAGCCGCCTGTCTGCCACGGCCTCGATGTACCGCATGTCCACCGGCTTCGCCAACGAGGCGGTGCCGCTGAACGAAGACCACTACTTCCTCCCCCTCTGGCAGCGCCTGCTGTGCAGGACCCTGTACGTCATCCTCACCACCGTCGTCGCCATCGTCATGCCCTTCTTCACCGACATGGCTGGGCTGGTGGGTGCCCTCACCTTCTTCCCCCTCTCCATCTTTCTCCCCATCCGCTGCTGGTGGGTGGACCGATCGGGGGAAGGGGGGGAGGGGGTTCCGGCGGGAGGAGGGGGGTACCCCTGCCCAGCCCTCCTGAGGCCAGAGCAGGGCCGGAGAGCCTGGCAGAGCCCTGCAACCCCACACTCTGGGGCCCCTGACCTGGCGACCCAGGGGGTTCTGTCCCCTTCCCCCCCCACAGCTCGCAGGAGTCTTCTCGGGCGCATGTTGCTCGCCCACCCTGCACCCCATTGCATCGGCCCCCAGCCCTCCCTCCCTCCCTCCCTCCACCACAGGCGAGTCCTGTACCATCCGACCGGCGCCTTCAGTGCCCTGCTCTGGTTCGTGGAGATCAGCATGGGCATTGTGTGTGCATGCGCCACAGTCGCCTCGGTGCGAGGCATCATCCTGAACTGGACCACCTACAAGCTTTTCGCCAGCTAGGCGGGCGAGGTCCCAATTCCTGAGGAGGAGGTGGGGGGGGATTGGGGGGTGCTGCATCTGTCGGACACTCAGAAAGCCAGCCGCAGCCCATGTTCCACACCGAGACCGCCTGCCCGACCCGTGGCTCCGCCCGCGACACATTTTCAGCAATCCACACCCACTTTCCCGGGGTCTGCTTGGCGCGAGGGGCTGTGCGCGTGTGACCACCCTCTGCAACCACCGACCCCTTCCTTTTCTGCTCAAATAACGGCACAGTTTTTCGCCCTTGAGCCAGTGACGCCTGCGAGGCTTGGTAGCCGCTCGCTGTTCTCCCTGCCTGTGCCGGAATGTGCTGCGTTGCTGTGTGCATGAAGCAGGCCCCCCATGAAATTTAACACTGACCCCGAGGAGGCCAGGCCACTCAAAACATTGTGGACGCAGATTTCATGGGCCCGAGGGCGATGATCCCATCATCGTCCCCACCATCGGCATGGCCTAATAGGTGGTAGTGCTGGGCCAAGGCATATAAATAGTTCAGCAGCACAATGCAATGATTGCCTGGCAAGGTCTAGCTCTGAAACTGTACATGCACAAGTGGCTTGCACCTGGATGAGTGACAAGGAACGATCAAGCATTGCAGGCCCCCCCATCTTTAACAACCTGGTCATCGCCGGCATCTGCCGTGAAGGTGAGCAGGGCGCGAAATGTCGGGAGGTTTCGGAAATCCCCCCCAAACCCTGGCACTATGGCTTGAGATGCCGGCCCACCATAGCGACGATACCTTCCCACCGGAGCGATGGCTTCATGCGCTACCTTCACCATGACTGTTCGAGGTCTTCTAGCTTCGCACGGACTCGTCACTCGAGGTGGCCTGGTGCGCACGTTCGCCAACGCTGCCAAAAAGCCCGCGGACCGCTTCGCCGAGTTCATTGCATCAGGTGTGGGAATGAAGTAAGGTTTCAAAGAGGGTACCGAACGCTTGTAGCCTCCTCGGCGATTGCCTGACACCGGAACCCCGGACCCACCCTCGCCGCAGGGGAGGGCAAGCGGCCTGCCGATAAGGACGAGATCCCCGACCACTCCTCCGCATATGGGGATGACCCGGTGGCCACGGTGGCCGATGTGCGCGGGGAGGAGAGCCAGCACAAATCCAAGCGGGCCAAGGTGGGCCTGGAGCGCTGGGGGGGCTTCGCCAGCACATGGGTGTGTTTTCCACCCCGGCCAGGTGGCAGGGCCGACGGTACCCTCTCCCTTGCACGTCCACAGAAGACCAAGAACGGGTCCAAGAAGTCTCTCGACTGATCATCTGCACGATTTGAAGGACAGGGGTGCGCGCGGCGCGCAGGAGCAAGGGGAGCGCAGAGCGTCCTGTGGCCTGGGCCCGTTCCCTGTGGCTCCCCAGGAAGCCTGTGCTGCATGCAGGCTCACAGATTGAGCTACCCACAGCGCTTTTTCATGGAACTCTCGACACAGCTGCACGTATGCTGTGCTTCCTCGGAGCCTAAGGTCTGCGCTGCGATCCTCCAAAGGGAACTACCGCCCCGGGTCAACTCTTCACCAGGGTGCAGCACCTCAGCGCACCCCATGTACCAAAGCTAGAGGCCTCGATCCCATCACCGCTGCCACGATCCATACTGATACTTGCCTCTCCAACTCCCCGTCATTCCTGGCAGAGCCTGATGCTGTGACATATATTACAGGCATGCGTCACAGAAACATGCAGGGGTGTGTGGGATTATGGGTGGGGAGGTGGGATTGGTGGGCAGAGGTAGGGGTACAATGCTCGTGGAACAAATCACAAAGACTCACATACTGCATCGATCGCCAAGAAAAACAAGATCTAACGGAGGAGAAGAGGGGAATAGTGTTTGTATCAGTCTGTTTGAGGGCAGCCGCTCAGGGACAGAGCACCCGCCCCTGCGTGGAGGCAAGCCAGCCCGTGCCTCGCCGCAGTGTGGGGATCCGAGCACGGGGGGCTCTTGTCGTCTCCTCGAGCCATGCGCAATGTGCGTACACGAGCGTCTGCCGTCAAAGGGGATGGGGGTGTGGTGTTCGCTAGTTCAGGGGTACTGGGAAAAACCTGGAGCACGCTAGGCTAGGGGTATGGGCGTTGCTGCCCTCCAGCGGACGAGGGGCAGCGTTTGGCTCAGACATCAGGCTCCCGGCGACCCGCTGCCGGACGCCTCGGCGGCATCGCCACTGGTCAGCGGCTCGCCCAGGACCTGGGTCTGCAGGGGGGTGGAGGCGGGGGGGGAGGGGGGGGGGGTGAGCATGAGCTGGTGTCTAAGGGCAGGAGGGGGGGGTGAGCATGAGCTGGTGTCTAAGGGCAGGAGGGGGGGGTGAGCATGAGCTGGTGTCTAAGGGCAGGAGGGGGGGCCTCGGAGGAACGTTTCCACACCCAGCCAGGTCGAGGCATCGGCAAAAGGGCGCCCTGGGGAGTGCGCTGCACCCTCCAAAGAGGCTGGTGCAGGAGGCCGGCCCACCTGCAGGGCTTGAAGCAGCTTGTCCTCCTTGATCCCCACGTGGGAGTGCACGACGTTGCCGGCCCTGTACATGATGAAGGTCGGGGTGACGCGCACCTGGGCATCCATCATCATGCCCTGTGAATGGGTGGGAGAGGGTGACGGGGTGAAAGTTTGGCAAAGGCAAGCCGCTGCGCATGGGGACGGGTGCCTGCAGGGCCAGGAGTGCCACTTGCGGGGAGCAGGGCGAATGTGGCGGCGGCGAACGCAAAGCGCGCAGGGAGGCCACGCAGCGCCGCAGTCTTCCCAGCCTTGTTTCCACTGCAGTGCAGCTTGGGTGCACTGACGTCGCCATCCTACCAGTCGGCATGACTGCCTGCTCACGAGCCCCCACACCCAGACGCCAAGTCTCACCCTGAGCTCCTTCGACTCATCCCCAAAGACCTCGCAGAACAGGACATCGCCGTACTTGCGCGACGCACGGTCGTATTTCCGCTTGAAGGCCTGCGGTTTGGGTGGAACGACTGAGGCTTAAACGCTGAGTCCTCGCCAGATTGGTGCAGAGGCAGGCCCTTCCTTCAAGAGGGACTACCTACCTTGCATGGGCGACACGACAGGGCCTTGCACATGAGCACGACCAACCGCTCCGGGTCGGCGGCGAGCAAGTCATCAAACTCGGCGCGGGAATGAATCTGGGGCGTATGGAGGCGGAAAACGGGGCTTGCTGGAGGGTGCGGCGTAGTTCGGACATGGCCCACCTCTCCACCAAAGATTTCGCCCCTGCCCCATCCCTCCCACCCATGCCTACCTGCACGACTCGGGACGGCGCGTTGTCCTCACTTGGGGCGAGAACAGTTCCCGCCCAGTCCACTTTCGGGGTAGTGGAAGCTGAAGTGCGAGCCGGATACGGCAGGGCCAGGTCGAGGGAGGCAGCGCGGGGGCTCGCGCCGCGTTCCACGGGACGCACCGACCATGCTCTGGGGAGTCGGTACCCAGAGGTCACACCCGTCGATGGAAGCGCAAAAGTGCGGCTGCTGCAGCTTGCCGTAGAGTGCGAGGAAGTGCGAGGCGCTGACAGCTGCATGGTGGTATCACTCTAATGCCCGCCTGACAACGTACGGGCGAGAGCACTAAGATGAGAATTCAGCCTTCCTAAATGTCTCAATTTGACAGAAGTCCTGGGAAATGCTGTGGTGAGGACACACATTTGAGCGTGGTGAGCTGACGCACATCGCCCCCCCACCTCATAAACCCCGCGTCCAAGATCTCGAGGGAGGCGCCCTGACTTCTGCCCCAGTTCCGGGACAAGCAAGCATGCCCAGCCGAACACCAGCGACCCGACGCACATCAAAGCTAGGTGTGTATTTGCGACTCGACGCTGATCGTGTTCGGAGGGCTGCCCAGTGAGGACCCCGCCATTTGTCGACAGCGCCTGGCCGTGTAGTGGCCACACGGGAGCTCGTACGCACCGCAAGAGGCTTTCATACGGCTCGGTTGCCAGTAGGGGCGAATTCAGTTGGTTCCAAGCCAAAAACCATGGTTGACGTGCAATGGGGGTGTCCACTGTAGTCTTTTGGGGCCCAGGATGACGCAAAGCCATTCCCTTGTTCAGCAGCATCCCTCTGCTGCCTGAGTCCGGCCCCTTTCTCATCAGTTCCCAGATGATCACATCACATTTTGCTCTGCCACAGATGTGCCGCTCGCAATTGAACGCACGGTGGACAGCTTCTCGAGCACAGCACCAATGAAACTTGTATGCAGTGGTTACCTTCCAGTTCCCCTTCTCCAATGTTCAGAAATGAGCCTCAGAACGAGCTTCTGAAGAGCCTCAATCACCACTGTCTTGCCTTCTGGTGGTATGGGTGTGTGGAAAGGGGGAAATCAGGTTTTCGTAGCTGGTACTGGCGTTCAGTACAATCTGAAGGCGTGTGGGGTTTGGGCCTGACGTTCCCCATGTGGGGATACTCACTGGGCCTCTGGATCAATTTCTTACGTTACCTGCCACCAGTGTGCAGAGTTGTATTGGAAAACGAGAACAAAATTGGAATGTTGTCGTGCGGCTGCGCCATCAACAAGTGCAGCCACATGCACCGGGAGGAGAATAAGTGAAAGGTGAAGGACAGTGAGACCATTGGGGCGTGATGCAATTGATAGACAAGGTTACGGTAGCTCACTGTAATGTCCATGCTGCCCTGGTTATGTTGCTGCTCACTCGCTGGTTGTGGTGGTGCAAGTGCACACCCTTGGCGTGGGGATACTCTGGCCTTGATACATATCAGATTACCACAAGAAAGAAGGACCATGCAGAGGCAAGGAGACATGATGCGATGCAACGGAGGCGTTAGGCGATGCGGCGTCGATTTGTGCAAGGATGAGACTCCTGCACAGAGATCTCCAGCATGCAGGAGCAAGTGTTGCTGGGGCATGCAGTTGCGAGGCATTGCCTGGAAGATCAAGGGAAACCTAGGAATCCTTTCTCTGGACGTGGGTGTGTTGTAACATGAGGACAGGCCAACTCCTTGGGAACCAAGCATTCATCCTGGCGGGAGCTTATTCATGGGGTTCCAATGAAGTTACTTCTTGGGTGGTGGAGGCGACTTCTTCTTGGGAGGTGGAGGCGACTTCTTCTTGGATGGAGGAGGCGACTTCTTCTTGGGTGGTGGAGGCGACTTCTTCTTGGGTGGAGGAGGCGACTTCTTCTCCTGGATGGTAGAAGAGACTTCTTCTTGGATGGGGATGGGTGGCTCTTTTAATGGTTGGGAGAGAGACTTTTCCTGGATGGGGAAGGAAATGCCTCCTTGGGTGGGGATTGGAGGCTCATCTTGGGTGAGGGAGGCTCACTTTTCTTTGGTGGGAAAGGCGGTGACCTTGTAGGTGATGGAGGGAGAATCTCTGTGGTAGGTGGTGAGGGGGGCTTGTCTCGGGCGAGGGAGGGGGTTCCTATGTGCGAGGTGGGGAGCTACTTGTGGGAGCAGTTTGGGGCTTCTCTTCGATGAGGAGGGCGAGGATTGCTGGGAGTGATTCATGAAGCAGGCGCCGGAGGTTCACTTGGGACAGGAACGGGGCCGTTGAAGGCTGATGGTGGACTCTCAGAAGGGATGGGTGCCAAAAGAGGCTTGCCAGCAGCAGGGGCGGGGATTGGAATGATTGGAGGAAGTGAAGGGACCAGTGGTGGGGGGGCCGGCGAAGGGAAAGGCATCAAAGCAACAGGAGCAGACCTGACAATAGTATCGTTGTTGAACAAGGCAAGCACAGCGCCCGTTCCTTGTGATGTGGCGCTCTTAATCTGCATAGGCTGCTTGACGATTCTGTCCGCGGGATGCATCTGTAGAGTATGTCCTGTTCCATCCTCGAGAACAATATCGAAGGTGAGGGAATCAGCGATCATGCTGGTTTCTGCCTCCAGGCTGCACGAGATAGTTCCACCGGCTGGAGCTGCGCACCAGGCATGTTTCAGCGTACAGGAGAAAATCGGGGGTGGACGCGGGCTTGCAATTCCCTGTGCGAAGGAATGACGGCGGCACTTTATGAGCAGTGCCACGGCGTGTACAGAGAACATCACGAATAGAAGCCCTCCTCAAGCCCAACCAAGCTCACAGCTGTCGTCCGCCCAGCATAAAGTGAGAGAATAAGGCCCAGCGCCAAAGTGAAGAGTCTACAGCAGGCCATCCTCCGTGACTTGGGCGAGACACACGATTCACGTCGACCACGACGAATAGTTACTCTTTCGAGCCGATTTGGTCGTCTCTAGCAAAATTTTCTAGCGAGTGGTGTAAATGGTTTTGCATTACTGAGCACTCTGGATTGGATGTGCCCTTTCTTTCGCTTCCGCAAGCATCAGTGTCCGCCGGATTTCCCATGATGCTAGACATCGGCGACCGGACATGACTCCGAGCATTGTCTCACGACCTCGATTCCCAGAGCTATCAAACAACTCCGTCAGTAGTGGTAAATGACCGAGTGGGCCTGCAAGACCATTCCACAGACTTCCCTGTGGTTGCCATGGGTATCTTGAGCCGAGGACAGCCCCGGCGCTGGGTACCCAGCCTGACATTGCTCAGAATTATATTGTCCGCCCTTGAGAATCGCAAGTGCAGCAAAATTACGAAACAAGGAAGCCCACCATTTCAGTTTCCTTATGAAAAAGTGATGTGGGACACTGTAGTACTGCCTTGTACGCAGATACATCATCACAACCAGAGCAAGCATGTGCAGTGGAGGATCCCATCGTGTAAGCAACGGCGGCAGACGTGAATGGGAGCATACTTTCTTGGTGCAATCCTATTAATCACAGAGACTGATATCTATCGAGGGTGCAGGGGCAAGTACTCGTGATGCAACGTTCCCCAGTAATTGCGTTGGAGACTGAACGGAGACCCTGGCTGTCTTGGTCTGGATCTAGCTTCTTCACATCTTGAAAGGTCGAATATTCGGCCATCAGACATGGCGCTTGGTGGTCGGTTTGTGTAAGAGGTCCAAGTCGCTTCTTTAAGGATGTAGACTCCTTCTGGGATGGGTGGGTGGCTTCTTGTAAGGTTCGACAGTCCTGGTGTTTGCAGTGAATGGCTAGCCGGTCAGGTGGGTGATTGCCAATGTAGCTGGAAGAGTTGCGACCTTGACGCCTCAGAAGGTGGCCCTGCCAGCTTCTGGGGATGTCTTGGATCCAGCTTGGAAACTTATTCATTGGTGCATGGAGCACCCCTGCCTTGCTTAGTTCTATCAAGTTCCTCAAACGAGGGGAGGGCGCAGTCCTGTGCTCAAGAGGCAGTCCAACAGCATTTGCACCATGGGAGGGCTCCACAGAATAATGTAGTCGAAGAGAAACCAGGTGTCTTCCTGGCTGGTAAAATATAATCAATATGGAGGACCAAATCGGCAAATTTCACATATGAGAATGATAGGTGTTTGTGCACACATTTTGGGGGGGCGAGTATCTCCCGTTGAACCTGGTCACGCAGCACGCGACGAACATGCACACCCATGTTCGAATGGGCGTTACACCGGGTACTTCCTTTAACGCTCGATGTGGTGCGACGATCTCGGCGCTGTAAGAAGTGCGCGTTGTCACAGAGTTTACGGGACGAGCATGAAGGCCTGGCCGCGGCGAGTGTCCAGCGCGATGCACGCCTCGTGCACGATGACAATTACACTTGAGCTGATGTCGAGGCACCCTTGAAGTCCTTCTGTGATGATTGGACTCACCGAGATCGCCATTGTTGCGGTCGCAGGGGCTGTCCTGTTCGGTGCGTGCCCACTAGGTGCCCCCAGGCCTCTTATGACATCCTCGATCCTGCATCCAGACGCCCCTGCTCACCTCGCACCTGCACCCTTTGCTCCCCAGGACCCAAAGAACTGCCCGGCATAGCACGTGCTCTGGGCAGGCAGACAGGGCGGGCCATGGCCTACGTTCAGGCGGGGCGCACCCACTTTTTCAAGTTTGCGCGGGAGAATGAGGTGGACAAGGTGCGTCCGCCGCTCTCGGGGGAGGCTTCGCGAGAGGAGCCCGCCTCGCATCCATCAGCGCTCTGGACAAGGCGGTGCGTGGCAGTGGCAGCCTTGCTGCTTGTTCCATGCTTCCCGACTGGTCCTCCTGCATCTGCCCTCGCAGCTGCATGCTGATCTGTCCGCGACCCTGAACCAGCTGAATGCCATCCGGGATGAGCTGCGGGGAGGCCTGAACATCATGAAGCCTGGGTGAGGCACCGTCTGTGTGGGGTTCTGTGCCTGCTCATGACATCGGTATGGGAAGGGGGGTCAGGGTCGGGGACCCATGCAGGTCCTGAAGTGCACCAGGCCCCCTGTCACCGCCGGATGCAGAGGTGGTCCCGCCATCATGTGCACTCTGCATGCTGGCCAGGCTCCCTCGCCCCTCTTGCCGACCTGAGCTTGCCAGTCGGTGCATACGCAGGCCGATGACGAGGCGGCTGCTGCAGGACCAGGGTTGGGCCCCGACCCCATCGAGCATCGGGACCATCGCCACGCCGGCCACACCCGAGGGTGGCTCCGCTGGCGCCCAGGCCAGGCCCGTGGCATCATTCTCCGTGCGGGACCCTGCGGCTGTACCTCACCCCCAGGCCCCAGCATCCTCCTGGGCAGCCAGCGGCGCTGCACCCGCCCAGCCAGCCGCCATGGCGTCTCTCATGCAGGCAGGAAGGACGGCAGGTGTGCATGGACCGATGATAGAGGGTGCAAACGCGCCGAGTACAGCTCACCAAACTGGCCTTGGGACAGCCAGGGGTAGCCCAGACCAGGGGCCACACCCCTCTCAGATCCCAGTCAGCGCGCTGGAGGCTGGCCTAGTGCAGGATCGAACTGGCACGACACCCACGGGGTCTGGTGAGGAGAGAGTGAAGGTCCGAGGGAGGGTCACCCACTCGGTGTGAGGCGCACGCCATCTCCGCCCCCCCCCCCTGTGACACCCCCTTGCCCTGCCAGATCTGATGATGGATGCCCTGCTGGAGGAGATGGTAGCTCGCCAGGCGCAGATGTTCTTCAAGAATCAGGAATCCCGATCCATGACTTGATAATGGAGGGCAAGGGGTACCCCATCGTTGCTAGTGGCTGCTAACGGATAAAGCTTGCTGGATTGCTGAGCAGCCCAGAAGGAGACGACTTGCGGAGGGGTGCGGGTCTGTATATCAAATGGCCCTTTGGCAATCAGGCGTGGGCTGCCCGAGTGTCGTTGACTTCAATGGCCATGTAATCCAACTGACATATTGCGCCAGGTGGCTGGGGACCACAACAGCTTGTTCATCATGAACATATCGTCACAAAATCTACAATCATTCTCACCCGATGGATCCATAAGAAGGCACGACCTACCAGGACGTGATACCGAGCATCTAAGTTTTGTTGGAGGAACTAAGCGTCATTGCCAGACATATCAGCAAGGTACCATCACCTTCTACAACGCCGGAGCGGTATCTCTCAGCCGCAAGCCGCAAAAAGGAAGCACGCTCACGTAATCCCGGGCAGGGTTTTTTTGTGACATGTCGCTGACGTCAATGCCTTCCTGGATCCCAACAAGTTTCTGGCAATGCCAGTTCCAGCACAAACCCTCGTGCAACACTAAACCGAACACCGCGACGCCCTCGCTTCCGAAAGGGGCCGCTCGCGAATAGCTTCGTACCGCCTGCCGTCACTTGGTGGTGTGTGCCGGGAGGTCCCCAGTGTCCCCCCGCAGCACATGGATGTCAAAGTTATGGATGCAGAGTCTGGAGTCAAGGCTTCGATGCCCTCCCCCCGACGAGGGTGGGTGAATGCGCCGCTCAACCAGCTGCCGAACAAGTCTGACGCTATCAGGTGGGTGGTCCACGGGTGGTGTCAGGGCATGGGACAAGTCAGCCCGAGAAATTCCAATCGACATGGAAACCACAGGCCATTTGGATACTCTGGAGTATATCTTCGAACAGTCCATTATCTTTGAAGAGATTCTGGAAGGTTTGCAAGGCCCTCACATTGTGCAAACACACCATCCACCGTGCGCAGGAATTTCAGCCCCAGCCTGTACATAGCGTCCACGTGCACGGGGCTCATCGGCATCCTCATCGACGTCAGCCCGTACCTGGGCAGGGGTTGGGCGGTGCCGACCGCCTGGGCATTCTGGTGGCTCAGCCTCCTGCAATTCACTGGAGTAACTGTCATGATCCTGCTGAGGTGCGGGGTTGGTGGTGGGGGCCAGTGGTCCTGAATGTGTGGGGCTGGGGGGTGTGATTCCTCTACGAGGTTGCCCCTGATCCGATGACCACCTAGCTTCTCGTGTGCCTGAATCCCTCCTCATGGCTCGCCCAGGCGGCAGCTGCACCCACCAACTCCTCAACAACACCCCGCACTCCCAGGGTGACCAGGTTCTGGGGCAGCATCGCTTCCCTGCCCAGCAGCAAGTCGGTGGACCTGTTCTTCTTTGGCGCCGTGGCCATATCCGTGGCCATCCTGTCGGAGGGCTTCGTGCGATACATGACGCACTACTTTGGCAGCGGCTTCCTGGTCGCCGGCCCTGCGCTCTGGGTGCGCGGGGAAACCCCTTGAGCGCTATCTGGGTCCACATCTGGCTGCTGCCAGGGTTTGGATTCTGGTGTCGAGCCCCCAAGTCGGCACCCCGGTTCAGCTCCTATACTCTTCAAGCCCGACCCTCCCCCCTTTCTGATTTGCAGTGGGCCACCGCGACCATCACCGTCCTGCTCAACGTGGCCCTCCCCTTCCTGGCCATCCAGGCGCACTCCCGGGAGTGAGTCTCAAGGCAGAGGTGCCGGCGTGCTGGTGTGAAGACTGGCTTGCCTAATACACTTGCTCAGGTTGCACGCTGACCTGTAACTGACCCGCTGTCACCCCCCATGCCACCCGCGCAGGCTGCCGGAGGTGCTGCCCATCTGGATCGTCGCGTTTGTCCCCGGCGTGGTCACAGGATCCGTGGGGCCCATCATGGCAAGCGTCCTCACCGACCTCTCGTGAGTTTCTGAATGGGGGGGACGGTGAACATGGGTGGGGGATGTCATTTCTCAGGCACAGCGCCCCACTCGAAGGGATGCCTGGCGGCCGCCCACCACGTCATGGGAAGTGCTGGACCCAACCACCAGGAGCGTACGCATCACTCCCAACCTCCAGCGTCGATCTCTGCCTCCCCTCCAGTATGGCGCGCCACATGATCTACATGAGCTACATCCTGGTGGGCCTGTCCTTTCCCATGGTGTTCATCATGCTGACCATTGTGGTGATGCGGCTCCTCTTCCACGGTGGGTGCCCTGGTGCCGAGTCTTTCGGCTCGATGATCGCTTCGTCTTCGCTCTGACCTAGCGGAACAGTTGTGAATCAGCTGGGGCGATGAGTGTTGCTGGCCATGGGCCTGGTATGTGCGGCGTGCTGCCAGCGGCAGGCGGAATCCATGCCTTGCAGCCCCCTGTATGAAGACACTCCGGTGGCTCCCCAGGGCCGGCCGTCTTGTGACGTCCACCTCCACGCACCATCCAAACACCCCTCCCTTTCTGCCCCAAACACACACACAGGCCTTCCCCCCCCCCCGCTCATCCTGAGCCTCTTCTTCCCCGTGGCGCCACTCACCCTGATGGGGGACGCCCTGGTCGAGCTGGCGCACGGCTCCATCCACGCCTTCCCGCAGGACAGCCTTTTAAACCCGTTCTTCAATGTGAGCCTGTAGTCGGAGCATGTGGGCTGCTGCATGTTGGTCTGGGCATGCCTAGCGCGCGACTGTGTTGCGGGAGGGCATGGGGTGGGGTCCCGGTTGCGCTCGTAGCAGAGCACCAGGGGTGGTCATGCTGCACGTGGGCATCTCCCTTGTCAACCCTCCTGCACACGCTTTCCAGACCACATCGTCCCTCAGCGCACCTCCGGCTCGACACCGAGCATTTGATGCAAGACTCCTTTTCCCCCTCCCTTCCCATATCTACTTGTGTTCGACCCCTTTCTCACACACATCCCCACCAACCAACCCCTCCACCCCCCCAAAACACTGCCTCGTAGTTTGCACACCCCGGCCTCACCTCGGCGCTGATGGCGGGGGGTCTTTTCTTCTTCGGCGCCGCCGTGTGGTGGGCCCTGTTTGCCGCGCTGGCGGCGGTCGTGGTGGCCGCTCGCCGCCGTGGCCTGGCCTACACGGTGGCCTGGTGGGGCAGCGTCTTCCCGCTGGGGCTGCTGGGACTCACTGCCCTACGCCTGGGCACGCTGCTGGACGTGGCCGCGCTGGAGGTCGTCGGCACCGTGCTGTCTATCTCCACGGCCGTCATGTGGCTCACCTGCTCCCTCATGCTGGCCGCCCGCATCTGGGACGGGTCCAACTTTGCGCGGGCACTCTGAGGCCACGTGTCTTGTGCCCAAGAATGTATTTATGGGGGGGTGGCCGGTGCGACTGACTCGTCGCACCTTGATCCCAGTCAGGCTCGGCCAGGCGCCAAGGATGGCGTGGACCCCTTCTTCTCCCCTCCCTTGCTCTCCAAATTGCACTGTACTGCCCGGCAACACACCCGTGAATGCAGGGCGCAGGTGCCAGCAAACACCCTGCTGTGCGCCGCTGCTGCGTCCCCCACTCACCCATCTGGCCCCTCCTATGAGTGTCACACAGCCCTCCAAGCCAGGCACGAGGGCACGTGGCACCCTGGCCAGAGCATGTGCGAGGAAATGCTTGCCCTAGAAACCTGCGGGAAGGTCAGGCGGTACCCTGTGTCCAGCCTGTATGCATGCAGACCACACTAGGACAGCTGTGGGCTGCCGTGCAGCCCACGCAGCATGTTGATCAGGTCCTGGCCGGAGAGCACCCGGCTGGGCTCTGCCCCCGGCTCCGGCAGTACCATGCGCGCGGGCTTGGGACCGGCCAGGTCGCCCTGTGAGAGAGTGTGTGTGTGTGTATCTGTGTGAAAACTGGGTACTGGGTGGGGCCTGATGGTGGTCTATAACAGGGAACTCAACCTCCGCCAGGGGCAGAGAGTGATCGCCACACGGGCGGCACCATCGCCACACTCTCTTCCTCGCTGCCCGCTGAACGGTTCTGTGCCCTGCCCTGCCTGTGCCACCCCACCCCCTTCCCACCCACACGCGACCACCCACCTGCTGCTGCGCGAGGAGGTCTGCCAGCGGCCCCTCCGCTGCCGCAAACTCGACCCAGGCGGCCTGCCCCGCCAGCGCTTCCCGGAGCTCCTCCTGCCAGGCCTCCACGCGCCCCTCCTCGCCGCAGTACCCCGGCTGCATGGCGGCATGCAGCGACCCCGCCAGCGCCAGCGCCCAGCCCACGCCGGGACTGCGCAGGCCGGGGGCCAGGTCGGCCGCCTTTGCGCACAGCTCCGCGATCGCTGTGGGGGGGACGGGTTCCAAAGCATCCCCCTCCCTTGCATCCGTCTCCCCGTGCGGCCCCGCCTCCTCGTCGGGGACCTCCCCCACCGGCCCCCCCTCCCCGGCCGCGCCGCACACCAACTGGCGCCAGAGGCCAGCCGCGCCCGTCCCAGGCGCCAGCGCCGCGCGCGCGGCGCGCAGGACTGCGCCCTGCGCCGGGGAGCACGCCTCGTGCGCCAGCGCCAGGCGCAGGCCCAGCGCCAGCGGGCAGCCTGGCGCGTGCACAACGGTGCGTGCCACCGCGCCGCACTCGGCGCGTAGCACCTGCGCCAGCAGCTCCAGCGCCGCAGCGCGGTGCAGGCCCAGCGTGCGAAGCGCGGCCGTGCGCGAGAAGGTGGTCTCGCGCGGCGCCGAGGCCAGGCCCAGCACGCGGCGCAGCGTAGGCAGCGCGCGTAACGCGGCCGCGGTGAAGGGGCGCAGGTCGGCCAGCTCCGTGTCGGCCAGCATGGGCAGCTGCGGGGAAGGTGATTGGGGGGGAGGGGGGGGATTTGAGAGGGGCGGGGTTAGGAAGGGAGGGAGGTGCTGGGGGAGGTGCGCGAGATCCCTCCAGGGGAGAACCGGCAAAGGACGGCGAGAGAGCGCGCGGGGTGCAGGGGCGGCGGAGCGACCGTGTGACGCATGCGCGGCGCGTCGCGGAAACGCCCTCGCGCTCCCCTCCCCGCTACGCTTTCGCCACCACTGGCACCCTGCCCACCATGCAGGAGTCCATCTCGCCGCGGACTTGGTCCGCTATGGCGGTAAGCGGCGTCGCCAGGTCGGCGGTCGTCCGGGTGGGGGACTCCAGTGCCTGGTTGACCTGTCAGCACAGGGGGAGAGGGGCGGGGGACACAGGGTGTGGGATCCTGGAAGCTCCCTGGATGCAAACGCTGCTCCGGAGTGCCCGGACAAAGGCTGCCTGGAGCGGTCAGGGTTCCCCTCCACACCAGGGACCCCCCACGAGGTGCGACACGCCCCGGCCGCCGCGCCAACCGCACCTGCTCCCACAGCTCCGCGGACAGCTGCTCCGGAACGACCTGCTCGGTGGGGCTCTCAAGGGCCTGGCCCTCATCCTGGTCGTCCTCATCGACCTGCTGGACAGCGGGCAGGGACTGGGTGTGCACCAGAGGAAGCACGGTGCTGCACCAGGGCGTGGGATCTATCCACACAACCAGGGAGCTCGGGGCACCCATCAGGCACACGGGAGACGTGCAGCAAGGCCGGATGAGTTGCTGCTTGGATTTCATCCAACCCTCCCCTCCTGCTTGACCTCCACAGGGTCCCGCCCGACGGCACCCAGCGCAGCACTCCGCCCCTGCCCAGCACACAGGTCCACGCCTGTCCACCTGGAAGAAGCGGCGGACGTAGGGGTTGTCGCGCAGTGAGCCGGACAGGGATGCGCCCCCCTCCTTGCCAGCCTCCTCCTTCCCGGCCTCGGCGGGCGGGGCTGCAACAGGGGGCGGAAGGGGACCCAACTCCACGTTCAGGATTTTCCGCTCCTTCAGGGTCGCCCGCTGCAGGCAGAGGAGGGGGACATGGGGTGCCTCGGCATCGGCGGCCTCGCAGCGGAATCGGCAAGCCTGGGCACCGCAGATCCGGGGAGTCACACCTGGATTTTGTCCCTTGCTTCCTGAACAACACCTCCACCACCCGACAGCGCACCACTGAGGCCTCTGCCGCGGGCGAGAGCGGGTTGTCCCTGAGGTCCAGGTCTATGAGATTGGGTGCGGCGCCCTGGGCGAGGGCCCTCGCCAGCGACTCCCCGCCTGCATGGTAGCAAGGGTTTGGGGTTTCGGGCCGGGCAGGGCAGAGGGGGCGAACTAGCTAGGTCTGCCGCACGACAGGGGCTCATCGGGATGGGAGCGAGGTCCACCCCTCACAGCAGCATGCTGTGAGGGGGTCTGAGCACATTACCATTTACAGCACAGCCGCCGCCAGCCTCACTCACTCTCGTCGTCCAGGCAGTTTCCAGCCAGGTTCAGGGACAGTATCTCAGTGTTTGCAGCAAGGTGGGCGCACAGCTGCACACAAGATTGGCGATGTAGGTGAGCGACGGGGGGCAGGGTAGTGGGAGCTCTCACGCTGGCCCTCCCCACGTGACCACTAACTTGTGTGAACACTTTGAGAGTCCATTCTAGGTGTACGCCGACTGATTTCCCACTCCAAACCACCTCACCTTCTTCACCGTCTTTGCATCGACGGCTGCAGAGCTCAGATCGACCCAGATGCTGCCAGAGCTGTTGGCACGCACGTCTGCCAGGGCGTTGCTCACTCGCTCCTGCTGCTGCTTCCGGACCTCGGCATCCACCCTACTGGCCTCGCCGGAGGCCTCGCCGTTGGCCTTCTTCTTCTTTTTCTGCATGGGCCAGAGGGGCAGGGCGGGGCCATGAGCCTTGCTCAGGTGGATGCCAGACACCACGACGCCCAGGGAGCAGCCTGACCTCCACTCCCCTCCATTTCCAACCTCCGGCACCCCACCCAGGCTCACCTTTCGTTTCTTTTTACCAGTTCCAGTGGGCTGCGATGCATCGGTATCGTCATCCGTCAAGCCCTCCCCAGATGCGCTGCTCGCGGTCTCAGCGTCCTCCTCCTCCTCCTCCAGCTCTCTGGCCGTTTCATCGGCATCTGCCGTCCCGGCCTCCTCCTCATCCACCTTGGGAAGATGTGCGGCCGGCATGCAATGCGCCCGGGCGCTCCAAATCGTAGGTGACTTGAACTCGAACCGAACAGGGTTGGTACCGGCGCCCGACACCGACGAGGGAGGCCCTGATCAGGGAGACCACTGATTGCCGATGGCAAGATGGAGAGTTGCAGGTTTCAAGCTCACCATGGACACGAGTGGGGATGCAGACGCATGCACATCGCGCGCTTGTCTGGCATTTGCTGCGCATGCGGTGTTCGGAGTCGCGCATCAACGATGGCAAGCCGGTCGCTGTTACAAGGCAACACGGTCGCGCCTGCGCCTGCATCATCGCACTCTACATACGGAAGACTCCGAACTGCGATGACCGGGGTCCCCGATTCTGGGCCGCTGCCAAGCTCAGACCCAACACCATGCGAGTGTCCGCAGGGTCGATGACGCCATCGTCCCAGAGCCTGGCCGAGGAGAACGACGGCTCTCCCTCCGCGTCATACCTGGGTGTGGAATGCGACCAGGATGTTGATGAGGGTGCACTCGCCGGCGTGGCGACCTCACTTTGACTTGGCAGCAGCAGCACATCCAGTGGCCAACACTTTGCATCACCACTGGGCAGAACTCTGTGTCGAGGATGAGAACCCACCCTGGCCTCCTTCCCACCTGTCCTTGATCGCCTTCTTGAAGGCCTCCTGCTCCTCGGTGGGCCAGGGCCGCCCCTCCCGCTCCCGCTTCTCGCTTTCCAGGAGGTGCAGCACGGCGGCTGCCTGCTCACCCCCCATCACGGAGATGCTGTGGTGTGTTGGCAGGGAGTGGGGTCAGGGGATGCCAGGGAGGGTCGGGGCTACACTGGACCCAGCCTTCCATATTTCCCAGAGTGAGAATGGCATGCAAGGGTGGGCAGATGCCCTTGGCTGTCCGTTTCCTGACCTTGTACACAAGCTAGTACGGTGCCGGCAACTCACCGAGCGTTGGGCCACATGTAGAGGAAGTCTGGGGAGTAGGCCCGTCCGCACATGCCGTAGTTCCCCGCCCCGAAGCTGCCGCCCATGAGCAGCGTGATCTTGGGCACGGCGGCGTTGGCCACCGCCATGACCATCTTGGCGCCGTCCTTTGCAATACCCCCAGCCTCATATTTTTTGCCCACCATGAAGCCGTTGATGTTCTGTGGGAGAGGATGGGAAAGGTTTGGGGGGGAGGGTGATGCAACTGGGCGGTAAGGTCGAGGTACCTGGGCATGGGGGTGGTGGAGTGCGACGGGCCGACACCCAAACAGCACCTGGAGGAAGATCAAGGGAATGCCGCGCTGACTGCACAGCTGCACAAAGTGCGCCCCCTTGAGCGCCGACTCCGAGAAGAGGATGCCTGGGCGAGGGGAGGGGATGGTGTTTTGGCGAGGGAGCACATGCATCGCGCAAGCCTGGTGAAGGCTTGACTCTGGTGTGACGAGCCCTTGCCACTGCTGAACGGAAGGGCAGCGGCGACCAGAATGCCATTTGCATTGGTACAGGCAGTGGAGGATTTGCCCCAGCTCATTCCTTCCCCGACGCTGCGCGACGCCTCCTTCAAATGCCTCCTCACCGTTGTTGGCGACGATGCCGACGGGCTGGCCATACAGGGAGCCAAACCCAGTGACCAGGGTGGTCCCATACTGCGCCTTGAACTCGTGGAAACGGCTGCCGTCAAGCACGCGAGCCAACACCGCCCTCACATCCCACGGCTGGCGAGCGTCGGTGGGCACCACACCTGCGAGTGTGGTGGTGTGGGAGTGCCAGGTGGTGGCGGCGGGGGGGGGGGCTTGGACAGGCCGGACGCCGCAGGGGCAGCCTCTCCTCAAGCGGTTGCGGCTCGCCAGCGGGGTGCACAGGGATGCATGCAGCGGGCCATTGTCTGCCAGAGCATGGCCCGGCAAAATTCAGGCCTCACAGCCTCTCCAGGCCGGCCTCACGCCGCCAGCAGGCCGGCCTCGCTCACGACCACACCGCGCCCCACCTCGGAGCTCGGCGGCGGGGAAGCGGGGCTCTTCCCACGCACCCTCGGCCCAGGGGAGGGGCACGGCGGCCCTGGTCCCCGGGCCAAGGTTCCTCACTATGTTGCGTGCCAGGCTGAGGGCATGCTGCTCGTTCTCGGCCATGTGGTCCGTCAGGCCTGTGGGAAGCGGGGGGGGGGTGGGGGGCGGAGTGGGGCAGGAGCGTGCCGGCGGTGCGCTCCGCGGCGGGCGGGCGTCTGGCTCTGGGCGTACTGCGCATGATGCAGAGCCTTTGTCGTTGCGACACGCCTGTGCCGCTCCCAGAGCAGCAGCGCCCGGCCCCTTCCTCCCCATCGGCTCACCAGAGGTCGTGCAGTGCAGCTCCGCGCCCCCCAGCTCCTCTGCGCTCACATCCTCACCCGTGGCCGCCTTGACCAGGGGGGGGCCGCCCAGGAAGATCGTCCCGTTGCCTCGCACGATGATGGACTCATCCGCCATGGCGGGGACGTAGGCGCCGCCGGCGGTGCAGGACCCCAGCACCACCGCGATCTGGGCCGGGCGGGGGGCGGGGGCGGAGGCGGGGCGTGGTGATGGAGGGGCATGGGGCCGTGCAGCGGCCATGCGGAGTCAAGATGGGCGGGGTGTTCGTGAGGAGTCTCATGGCCTGTGACAGTCTGCTGTCTGGGATGATGGAGTCAGACACCCAGACGCAGGATGACCCGATTACCCCCATACCATCCTCCTCTCAGTGGCAGCCACATCCCACTTCAGAGTCCGGGCCCCAGCCCACCTGGGAAATGCCGGCAGCCGACATGCGGGCCTGGTTATAGAAGATCCGCCCAAAGTGATCCCGGTCCGGGAAGACGTCGGCTTGCCGCGGGAGGTTGGCGCCGCCTGCATGCAGTGTGTGTGACAAGGGCATCGCATGGGCAATTGGGACTGACTTGGCACAAATTCATTGTGGAAGCGTTTCTTGCCACTGCGGTGTACTTTCTTCCACAGGGATGTGACGTCACCGCGCAATCCCAACCAAACACCCAGCACGAATGCGCAACACACAGCCCGACTCACCCGAATCCACCAGGTAGATGCATGGCAGCCGACACTGTTCCGCAATCTCCTGCAGTCGCACATGTTTCTGTGGGCAGATGTGTGAGAGGGAAGGGGCCCGGAGTCTGGCGGGGTGGTGCAGGTGGTGCATGATTGTTGACCAACAAGTTGCATTACGCCAGCAAGGCCGGTAGCTCACGCCCACAGTGATGCGGCTTGGAACCCTAACCAAATCGATCCGTTTCGTAACACATGCCCAGGTCTGACCTTCACGGTGATGGGAAAGTATGTGCCTCCCTTGACTGTTGCGTCATTGGCTACAATCGCCACCAATCGACCATGCACTCTGCCGATGCCAGTCACAATGCCGCCAGCGGGGACGTCGTCCTTTCCTGATTGTGTTGACATAAAGTTACGGTTGTGGGGCTAGGGAAACTCTAAAATCATTGCTGACCATCTTATGAACGGCATCGCAGACACCCAGCCACAATCCTCCACCCCTCACCATACAGGCCCTTGCCCGCCAGCTGGGAGAATTCCAGGAAGGGAGACCCTGGATCAATCAGCGCCTGTATTCGTTCTCTGGGCAGCAGTTTCCCCCTGGAGTGGTGCCTCTGAACCGCCTTGGGCCCCCCACCCTCCACAGCGTGTGCCACGTCCGCCCGCAACCGGGACAGCAAGCCGTCCATGCGCCCCGCACTTGCAGCATATGCATCCGAGTAGGGGTCTAGACCGCAGGTGCCCAGCACTTGGGATGCATCCAGCGCAGCGGCACCGGTGATGCCGCGTCCCAGTCGGGACCAGTCCACCCGCAGGCGCGCACAGATCAGCATGATCCCAGGGTACCAGGCAATAAGATCGCAGTCTATGTATTTGAAAGATTAATTTAAGTCATTCCGCTAGTGGTTGTGGAGGCCATGAGGGTGTGAGAATGCACTGCGACTTCCGGTACTCGCCCTCCCCCGCGGACCAATTTCGGACTCCGCGACCACTGCTGAGTCAGCAAGAGCCTCGAGCCTCGAGATCTTCAGGGCGGGGAAGGGTGGCCATATACATGGTGTCACTTCACAAGGTCAGCGTACAGCAAGCTCGTAGCCTCGGCCTCTTCCCTTAGTCGTCACCTACATGTATCACTGCAGCAGATGTTCCCGGGTGACAGCACTGTAGGCCTGTGCCAGTGCCTTTGACACTGCATCGCCCTCGAGATCATGAGCCTGCGACAGCTGGCCCAACCGCTCCAGTATGCGCTCCTGTGGATTGGTCCACGATGCGGGGGGAGGTGGTTTGGCCGGAGGCTTTGACCCAGACAGATGCTTCGTTTGGCTGTTGTCATGGCTCAACAAACGGGCGACCCACATAATCTATGCCTTTCCAGCCCCGGTACAGGCACACGCCACACCCTTCCTCCCCACCTTTGTGCCCTCTGGCAGCCGTGTGTCAAACTCAAACTGAAGAGGGGTATGGTGGGGGTGGGGGGTGGGCAGTGAGACCACTGGCACATGCCATGGACCATAGCACATCCAACAGGAAGCACAAGGTAGGTACAGGCCGGTGGTCTCACGGCCATTCAAGCACCGCCCTGGGCTCCAGTCCCCTCACCTTCCCCCCCGCGCTGTCGTCGCCCAGCTTGGCTGCCGACTCGGCGGCACTGCCCACTGCTCCAGGGTGCCTGGCTTGCACAGCCTTCATGACCAGGCTGCCCAGGTGGACCTCCACCTCTCCACCCGAAGCGTCCTGGAAAGGGAGGAACCCATCTGCCAGCGTCCCAAAGGCAAAGGCCCAGGGCCGCACGCGCTCTGGCGCCCTGCGTGAAGAGACAGGGTGTTGGCGAGCTCAGGCGGTGCATGGTGGGTCTCCACCCCAGGTGCGTAAGCCGGACACCCTTCAGTGCACCCTCTCACGATGCTCGTGTCCCCCGAAGGCGCATGCCATCACCGGGCATGGCACGGGCGCCCACGCCCACAAGGGCCCCCGTCACCTGGCAAGCTCCACGACGCTCTCCCAGCCCTCCAGATTGCTGTGGATGAACCTGGGTCTTGGGGGCCGCGCCCCCTCCTCCACTCCACGCCACCGCTCCTCCCAGGCGGTCATCACGACTTCGGCCTAGAAATGGGGTCCAAGGTGGGCAGGTGAGGAGGCTGGCGATGAATGCATGCCGACGGGCCCACAGCGACAAGGGATCCCCAGCCCCACTCGGGGCCTTGCCCGCCCAGCCTGTGCCGTCCAACACTCATCAACAGCATTCCTCCCCCCTCCCCCCCCAAAAACTTAACAACCACTTCCCTGGCCTGCATGGCCATCACCAGCCCCACCCACCATGTCGCAGTAGCTGCCCGAGTCCAGCCTCCATACGGGAAAAAGGTCAAAGACGACGGTCCCCTCCGGGTGCGGGGCTGCCCGCGCCGGCGCCCGCGCCCAGTCGCCTGGGTACCTGGCCTCCAGATCGGCCAGGAACTCCCGCGGCGGCCGTGCGGCCAGAGCCGATGCCACGAATCCGGGAGTGCCCTGGGTATCTGGCAGCGCGGTGGCCGCCGCCAGCCCGCCGCCGCTGGCCAGCAGCAGGAGGTGCCCCAGCAGGCAGCCCACCTGGGCCAGGCCCCGTGGGTGGGAGGCCGAGGCCTGGGCATGTTGGGGACCGGCAGCGTCCTGGCCGGCCGCCCCGACTGTCGTCGTCGCTCCATCCTGCTCGGTCGCTGCACCCGTCGCCTGTTGAATGTCGTAGCCGGCCAGGAGCTGGTCGGTGAGCATGAGCGTCTCGTGCGCCAGCGTGCCCACCAGCGGCCCCACCCCCAGGCGATCGAGGCGTGAGCCCAGCGCGCGCAGCGTGCCGTCCAGCGTGGCGGTCGCCAGCAGGGCCGAGGTCCCCGCCCAGCCGCGCAGGTGCAGGCCGCAGTACCAGTTCTGCAGCACCAGGAAGCGGCGGGAGCTGGAGCGCCGGCCGGCAAAGAGGAACATGCGCGGGCCGGGCGGCACGCGCGCGTTGAGCCGCGCCACGCCCAGTGCCAGGCGGGCCAGCGCGCTGGCCAGCAGCGACCTCGGCGTGAGTCTCACTCGCTCCATCCTTTCCAGCTGGCGCACCTGGGAGGGCACGCGCGTGTGTGTTTTTTGGGGGGTCCCCGAGGGATGCCTTGGGCGGGCACATCGCCCGAGGCGATGGTACATCCCACGTCCTCCTCAACTGCACATCCCCAGCAGGTCCACGAGCGGGCATTGGCGTGCGGGCCGCCGTCGGCCTTGCCTGGGCGGCGATGAGCAGCTCCTGCACCGCCTGCGTCAGGGTGGTCTCCACGTGGGAGGCCGCCTCCGCGGGGCCCGCTGCCCAGGCGGTCAGCGCCCCGTCCTCGGACAGGGCCCAGGTGACGGGGGCCACGCCGTAGCGCTGTGCGCGCTGCACCATCTCCTGCATGGGGGGCGGGGACGGTGGATGTGGCGGGGACACGGGCGGGTGACAGGGGGGTGCTCTGCTGCTGCCTCGAGTGAGGCTGAACAGGAGAACCCCTTGAGAGTCCCTCACCACACCTGGGTCAGCTCGAAGCCGGCAAAGTGGCGCCGGAGGGTGTCGCACACGGCGGGGGGGTAGGGCTGCACGCCCAGCCGTCGGCGCACCAGCTCCTCAAAAGCGGTCCACAGTTCCAGGTCCTGTGGCGGGAAGGGGGGGGCATCCTGTGGTATGCAAGGGACTGCAAGTGCCCTGCGGCTGCTCTGAAGGTGACCAGGGCCGCTGCAGCCAAGAGTGCAAAGTGTGGCACGAAATTTGAGCCGGGACCCACACACTTTTTCGCGAATGGCGGCAAGCGACACGTCGCTGTGGCGGACCGTCAGCTTGAACTCGAGGGTCACCCCCTGCATGAACTCTGCATACATCCTGCAGGGGGGTGGCAAGGGCTGGTCCGTGTGAGAACATGCTAGAGTGCGAGCCTGCATTGCCATGCAGCTTCCACTACGGTCATCCTCCAAGATCCAGCACGTCACCCCCTTGCCTATGCATCCTGGGTTTGTATGCATCATTGCAAAGGTAGCCCTCCAGAGCTTCATCTGGCAGGCTGAGCACATGGCGGGTGATTGGGTCCTCCAGGAAAGTCTGCAACCGGCCTGTTGATGGTGGCAGGGAGCGCTCAGGAGCGCGTCATGACCACACACCCATGATGAGGAAGTGCATCGCCCTCACCTAGAACTCCAGGGTCGGCGCCATGAGTCCGGGCGCATTGCAGTGTTTCAACTGCAAAACCCTCCCAGTCTGTCACGAGACTGGGCCCGAGCAAGGTCCCCATCCGTGCAAAGCAACGGATGCAGGGATGGAGCCGAGGAACCAAAGGGGAAGTGGCCCACTCAGTGCTCCCAAGATTACACGAGGGATCCCACGGCATGCGCGCGCGGACATGGAGGGCTTGGGACCATGCTCTGATCCGCGCGCCAAGATCCTCAGCGGAGTTGAAACCCTGCCAATCCCACACACCGATGCCCTTAATCATATGATCTCCTCCCTGTGATTGCAAAGGATAGACGGCCTTGAAATTGCGCGCCTACAGGCACTCCTCTTCACGGGCGGTACGCCGACAATGGAGGCGACCTCCACCCGCTTCGTGGAGGGGTTCCTCAAGTCATGGGGTGTTATTATGGCCTCTGAGATCGGTGAGCCGACCGGCTGTGCGTTGCACGGGTGTGTGCTTTGTTATTGGTGGAGGCCTCCCAACAAGGGCACCGGCGCCACCTCCCGGTCCCCGACGTCAATCAATCCTGCAGGCGACAAGACATTCCTCATCGCAGCAGTCATGGCCATGAAGCACCCTCGGAAACAGGTACGACGGTGTTCTGGATGGCGGCGGGGTGTCACAGGGGGACAGTGCTGGTGAGTTGAGTACTGCCAGCTTCCAGCACCTCATCCTCGGCCACTCCATCAATCCAGGTCTTCGCTGGCGCCATGTCGGCCCTGGCGATAATGACCGTGCTCTCTGCGGCCATGGGATGGGCAGCACCAAACCTGGTGAGACCCGTGCGGTCTGTAGGAGCGAGGAGGCCTCTGGTACCCAGATCGGGATGCACAGCGAGGCTCTGCACTGAGTTTGGAAGAGGGTGCCGCCGCTGGCATGGCCCGCCCCTCCCATGCCGCCTTTGCCCCCACCACCTGCACCCCAGATCTCGCCGGTGTACACGCACTACGCGGCCACCGCCCTGTTCTTCGTGTTTGGGCTGCGCCTGCTCTGGGATGTGGCGCGAGGGACCGTGGAGCCCGAGGGCGACATCGGCGAGGTGGAGAAGGAGCTGGAGATGGTGAGATAGGGTGAGGGTGTGTCCCCTGCGGTCTGCACCCGGGGCTATCATGGCCGGGCTGCAGTGCCCCTCCACCTCCACTGCGCATAAAGCAGTGCGGGGCTGGGCTGGCTGCCTGCCTGTCCGAACCAGCGCTGGCTCACGGCGGGGCCGGCCCCTGCCTCACGCCCTCCTCCCCCCATACCCACGCCCTCAGGCCGAAACCGCCCATCCTCCGCAACCGCAGACCCTGCGCGGCGGCCAGTCGGCGCCCACCGAGGCCCGGGCCAAGGGCCTCGCCGCCAGCCTGGCCTCGCTCCAGGCGGCGGCGCGCCGCGTCTTCCCGGCCATTCTCCTCCAGGCCTTCACGCTCACCTTCCTGGCGGAGTGGGGGGACCGCAGCCAGATCGCCACCATCGGTGCGCACAAGGGTGGGGGTTTGTGTAGTCTTGGGGGGTACCTGGGGGTGGTGCAGGCTGAGGAGGGCAGCCCGGGGACAGCCCGGCCGGCATGTTGATGCAGCATCTTCCGGCGCCCTCACCTTTCATACTCCTGCCGGCGCCGGGGCTCGACCCGCGCGCTCTGGCGCCCCTCTCTCCGACCCATGAGTCACCGCCTGGCTCTCCCCGCCCCCACACAGGACTCGCCACGGGGTCGGACGTGGTGGGCGTCACGTTGGGGGGCACGCTGGGCCACGCCATGTGCACGGGCGCGGCGGTGCTGGGAGGGAAGCACCTCGCGGAGCGGGTGGACGAGCGCGCTGTCTCCGCGGTGGGCGGCGTCCTCTTCCTCCTCTTCGGCGCGCACTCCCTTTGGGTGGGGGCCCCGGATGTGTGAAGGGGTCATGGACGCGGCGGCGCTGGGGACTGCGGGCCAGACGGGGGCTCAACCTCCTTCTCGGCGCTGGATCGCGACAGCGGCGAGGAGAAAGGCAAGGGCCTCCCCAGGTCTCTGCGCACTCGACTGATGCTGCTGCACAGGCGTGCACTGCGACACCCCAGCGCTGCAGCTGCACTGTCACTGTGTCACAAGCGGGGGCTAGGTGCAGCTGGGGGCATGTCAAATATGGGCAACTGGGAGCAAGTTTGTGTTCTGTTGTGCAGCACAGGGTTCCCAGGCACTGCACTAACGTGAGGAGGGAGAGGGAAGAGGAACCCGCTGCCGCGGCAATCTCAGCCGTCACTGGTGAATGCTTGGACCAGAGGTCCTGCCAAGCCCGATCTCAGGACCTCGCCTCGTCGCCACCGCCATCAGGTCCGGTACATGCGCGGCGGCGGCTCGGCCGCAAAGGACGGCAGCGAGCGCATGCTGTCCCCCGGTCCCAGCGTGGCGCTGGCTTGGGACAGGCTGCTCGACAGGGGCCTCGGCGGCGCGGAGTGGGTGACGGGGCCGAAGGGGGAGGGCTGGCCGCCGCCGCCGCCGTCGGAGCGCTGGGCCCAGGCCCGTATGAGGCGGCCCTCCGGGCTGGGCGGTGGACCGCCGGCCTCGGCCGCTGCGTTCCAGAATGCCACCCTCTGCAGGGGATTGAGAGTGGGCGTGCAGAAGGGGGCTTGGGAGGGTGCTAGGGTGATGCACGAACATTTCTTCGAGCCCTCGATCGCACGCAAGACTCCGCCTTGAGCTGGGAGGGTCTGCGCGCCACGCCCGCGTCAGGGTCTATCCACCCCCTCCCGCTCCATTCCCCCTTTCCTCCCCACCTTGTTCAGGGCGTGCGCGTCGTGGAGGGGCCGCGTGACCACCGCCCAGCCCAGCAGCCAGACCTGGGCCACGAGGCAGGCAAAGAAGGCCAGCCAGCAGGCCTGGTTGCCCCAAGTGAAGGGGTTGAAGGCGATGCTCACGCCCGCGGCGGTGCACTCTGCAGGCAGAAGAATGGGCGACAATGGGCGCGATCGAGAGCATCAAAGAGCACCGCACCGGCCGCAGGGTCTTTTCAAGGGTCCCAGCTGTTCAAGAAGCACGCTGTGGGGCAAGCCATGTTCGTCCCCAGGAGAGTCTGGAAGCTGCCAGGTGCCTCTGCACAGCCTGTGATTCGTCTCTGCCTCAACCTAGTACACACACCACCCCCAACCCCCCAATCCCCACACACCTCCCACGACGAGGAGGGAGAGCGCCCACTGGAAAGCGCGGACGCGCACGGCCAGGTGCAGGTCGTCGCGCGCCTCGCGCCTCGCCCGCCGCGCGCGGAGCCAGAGGACCAGGAGGAAAGCGGTGCGCCAGGTCAGGTGCACGATCACCGCGGCGGCGGGGAAGGTGCAGAGCGTGCACCCCGCCTCCCCGCCGCACGCCTGCCGCCCGCCCACCGCAAAGGCGGCGAAGAAGTAGCCAAGCAGGCTGGTGGGCTGCGCCTCCAGCTCCACGCCCCCGGGCAGCGTCACAAAGGTGCTCAGCCAGGCGATCACGGCCTGGCACAGGGCGATGGGGATGGTGAGCAGGAGGGCGGTGAAGATCAGGCTGCCGCTGGCCCTCCAGCCGCCCAGAGACCTGTGGCGGGGGAGGGGTGGATCGGCGAGGTCGGTGCCAGCGAGCATGGGCGCGAAGAGCGGCGGGCGAGGGGCCACAGGAGGGGTGGCGAAGGGCTTGATGGGTCACCGCACCCATCATGGCAACTCGGCGGTTGCAGCCTGCTGCACAGGGCTCAATCCCGCAGCAGCACCCCACGCTACAGAGCCCCTGCCCCTCGGCTAGCAAGCCACCCACTCCACAAGCAACCCCCCCCCCCCTTTCCCTCCGCACCCCCGGCAACTCACTCCCTGTCCTCAGGCAAGCGAGTGACCGCAGCAAAGGCCAGCAGGGCGGTCAGGCAGCAGAGGGGCTGCAGCACGCCGAGAGCCACGGTGAGATAGACGCGGCAGTTGCGCCCCGCTCCCGACCAGTCGGTGACGTCGTCCTGGAAGACGATGGAGGAGTAGCCCCACACGCTGCTCAGGCGCAGGGTCTGGGTGGCCTGTGGGGAGCAAGATGGGGGGAGGAGGGAATGGAGTGAAGGGTTCTAGCAGGGCCGCCAGTAACATTCGAAGGGATCGCGACAGGGCCTCCCCCAAACACGTAGGGCTGGTACTTGCAGCAAGGATTTCTCCCAAGTGAAGCCACGCACCATCCACACGATGATGAGCAACTCAAGGATGAAGCGGGCCTGCCAGAAGCGGTTGGCCATGCGATGCTGCGGCAGCTTCCTGCTGCGAGGCCGCCATGGAATGACAAAGGCTGCCGCTAGCAGGCATGCAAGCAGTGTGACAGCTGGGGAGAGGGAGGATGGGGAGCGGTGGATGCCTGTGGCATGGGGAGAAGGTGGCCAGGAGCAGTCCCCAGAACGAGATGCCCACCAACAACTCTGGAGGAGGAGCAGGGTCACCCTCACCGAGCACGCCAAGGACCGCAAAATCAGCAGGGCGCAGAGATTCGAGTGTCAGTGCCATTGCTATTATTCTAACGTGTTCCGTGTTTCAGTCAGAGAGCATCCTTGTCGAGGGTGGTTGATCGCCAGTTACCCATACAAGTGGTTGCGACGCTTTGGCGAGCCTGCGTCAGGGAGTCCCTGCGGATGTATTCCAGCAGAAATACAACGCTTTATATACATGTACCTCTCTGAACCAGATCCATGTGTGCGAGGATGGCCGTGGCACTCCGTGGCCAGGCGAGCGCCATCTGCCATCTTGCTTTTTGAAGGAACGCGATACCGGGGGGGTACTACAAAAATTTACGTCATACCCTTGCGAGCCTCCGCTCATGCAAGGCATCATTTCTCCGCCACAATGTTCCCAAAACCAACGAAGGAGTGGCTGTCTTGCAAAATACGGTGCGAGGATATAGAACAGTGTGGATAAGTGTCGTGTCTGTTGCACGACAGCGCTTGATCACCCGCAATTTCCGCACACAGCTGTGGAAGGCACCATGGCCGAGGTCGAGGAGGGGAAGGGCCTCCCCGTGGCATTGCACGGGGCATCCCCCACGCATCAACCTGCCAGTCCTCCCAGTGATGGCAGTGAGAGGAAGGGTGGTTCCATGCGAGGACTTCCCGTGGTCATGACGGTGCGTGGCGATCAGGGGTGGAGGACGACAACCCCAATCGTTGGTGGGGGAGTGCGCCCCCATTGACACGCCGCGAGCTCACCTCTCCACCGCAGAACATCACCTGCTCTGTGAAGAACAGCCAGAATCGCAAGGAAATCATCACCATCCTGAACGATGTCAGCGGCTTCATGCGCCCCGGCGAGATGGTGCGTGTGTCTTCAAAGGGCATTCTGGCAGGAGCAAGGCTTTCGCCAGGGAACCTGCAGTTTTTCACCCAAGTTTTCCTCATACATCTGCATGCTCCTACCGTGCTCCCCCATGCCTGTGCAGGTCGCTCTGATGGGCCCCTCTGGGTCGGGGAAGACCACGCTCATGGACATCCTGTCTGGGCGCAAGAACGTGGGGAAGATCTCGGGGGAGGTGCTGATGGGCGGCAACAAGCCTAGCGTCCCCTTCCTGCGGCGCTACACGGGCTACGTCGAGCAGTTTGGTGCGTGGGATGTTGAGTTCTGCCATGCTTGCTCCGCGATCTGGCGGCGGTGCCTGGACTTGGTGGGCGTGTAAGGGGGTGCGCTAAGGGCTGCCATCGACCAAGGCAGGAACAGGCGCATGAGTGAGGTCTCCAGGCAGCATGGCATGGCCGATGAATGGATACCCCTCTCCCTGCCTTGGGCCATGTGCAGCGGATCCACATCACCTTAAAGGACACCAACCATAACCACTGCCACACCCCACATGGAAAGACTCCCTCAAACTCCCAAACCCCGCATTTCTGCCCCTGAAGACACGCTAGTGGACTACATGACGGTGGAGGAGATGCTCATCTACACCGCCGAGATGAAGCGCCCCGTGGAGGAGGAAGCCAGCCTGAAGGTGGCGGCCGTGGAGGACACCATCACCGCTCTGGGTCTGGCCTCCTGCCGAAAGGTCAAGATCGGCAAGTGAGTGCGCGCGTCGGTGTGTTTGAGCCGTGGGATCAGTTCTTTCGTCGTGTGGGACTTGGAACTGGATGCAGGGAAACGGACCGGGTGGGGCCCGCCCACAGCTGATCGTTGCCCTGCACACGCTGCGTGACTCGGGAGTGGCAATCTTCACAGCTACATGCGCCGAGCCCACCGCAGCCACATGGCCCGCGGCATCTCCGGCGGCCAGGCCAAGCGCGTCAACATCGGGCTGGCGCTGGTCACCAACCCCCGCATCCTGTTTTTGGATGAGCCCACCTCGGGCCTCGACTCGGTGAGGCGGTAGGGTGGGGTGCCTGGGGTGGCCTGCTGCCGCTGTGATGGACATGCAGAGCAGCCTGTGGTACCTCGCTGGGGTCCATTGAAGACTGATGGGGGCACGCTCTCGGGCACGTGGTCGGCCAGACCGTTCAGCACGGGTGCTCGGCGCGTGGGGCGCCAGCACTGGCCATTGAGCCTCGAGCCCATGCGCCCGACGTGGGAGTGCGGGGTTCCTGAAACACGAAGTCTGCGCATCACCCCTCTCCCCCCCACTCTCCCTTGCAGTACACCTCCAACGAGGTGATGACGACGGTGAAGACGCTTGCCCGGCGCGGCCTGACGGTGTGCGCCACCATCCACTCCCCCACCCCCTACTGCTTCCACCTCTTCGACCGCCTGCTGCTCCTCCTGCGCGGCCAAGTGGTCTACTTTGGCACCGGCGGTGCGTGGGGCGCGGGGGATTGGGCGTGCATGGGAGCAGTCCACGAAGCGTCGCAGGGCTGGATCAGGGGCAGCACTCCTCCGAGTGCCAGGGTGTGTGCCCTGGGCCCAGGGCGCTGAAGATGAGAGTGACTGCATCAAATTCCCTCCATGGCCGCTTGCTTGTCAAAGGAGGGGAAGGGCTGACCGCCCCTCGAGCCGGGTAGATCCTCGTGCGGGCAGCCTGTCGACTACCAGCATGATCCCTTCTTTCTCTGGCACACACACTCCCCCCAAATTCCTCTCCCATGCCTGATCAGGCCAGGAGGCGGTGGAGTACTTTGTGCAGAACACGCCCGTCATCAAGGGCCTGATGGAGGGCGAGAACGAGGCGGAGTGGATCGTGGACCTCACTGTCCAGGCAGACCGGCAGGGCAAGGCGGGGGAGTTTGCCGGTGCCTTTGCCGCGTCGCGGCACAAGACCGTGTCTGACGAGGCGCTGCAGTCCCTGCTGCGCGACACCCCCTCCATGCTCGGTGGGCGGGTGGGTGTTTGGGGAAATGGGAGGAAGGCTGGGGAGGATGTAGCAGGGAGGACAGAGGATGGGATGCAGCGCCCAGTAGCTCGACGCCGGCTGCTGCATGTCGCTGCCAGGCCCTTGGCTGAGGGGCTACATGTGCAGCATCCTGAAACAGGCTGTGGTGGGGGCCTTGTAGGAGGTGACTTGGAATGCAAAGCGCACCAGGGCAGGCATGTGGCGTTCATGCGTGCCCATCTAGCGCCGCCGCCCTTCCCTCTGCCTCGCAGACGAGGACAGCAAGAAGGAGCTGGCGGTGCAGCGCGAGACCACCACGCCCTTCTGGTGGGCCCTCCTGGTCATGATCAAGGTTGGTGGCCGGGGTCGGGGGGGAGAGAAAGGTCACACCTGTGAAGGGAAGGGCAAAGGTTTGATTCGTCTGGACTGCAGGATTGCTGCTGCATCCACACCTCCCCAGCCAGTGCCCTCTGCCCGTCTCGGCCTGTACCCCTCCCCCTCACTGGTGATGCTTCTCTTTCCTCGCAGCGACGGGCGTTCAAGCAGTACAAGAACCCCGAGTTTGTCATGCCGCGCATTGCCGGCTCCGTCCTGTTCAGGTGGGGTGGCGTTTGGCACCGGTGCTGGTTGAGCACAAGGGATGGAATGGGGTGGAGGTTCTGGTTGGACGAAGGGATGCACTCCTGGCTGCACCCGTCCGCTCCACCTCAATCACAGCGCTGATCCGAGATCCGTAGGTGTTGCATCTCAGCACTCACACACACACACACACACACACACTATCCGCCTCCTCCACTCCACAGCCTGGTGATCTTCACCCTGTACTGGAAGAAGGGGGATGACCTGTCCACCGGCAACCTGTACAACATCCAGGCGGTGCTCTTCATGTGGGTCGTCCTGCCCGCCTACAACTCGGCCTCCACCATGCCCACGCTGGTCATGGAGCGCCAGCTGTTCACCAGGTGCTGTTTGTATCGGGCGGGAGTTTGGGGTCGTGCTGGAGGGTGCGTTGGGGACATGGGTGTTGTGGGGAAGCAAGCAGGCGCAGCTCTGGATATGCTGCTGAGCTGATCCATCAACACAGGGAGGGGCTGGGCCTGCCTTGGTCCCCTGCCTGGATGCCTGAACTTGTGGTGGACTGCAGCCCAGGGTCGCATGCACTTGATGGACCCACGGCCGAGCACAAACATCGCAGGGAGCGGAACGATGGGCTGTACCGCGTGGTGACCTTCCTGTTCTACAAGATGGTGGAGGAGGTGGTCATCCTGGGTCTGGTCTCGCTGCTCACATGTGCGCGGGGGGGGAATGCCCAGGCTGTTCATGCCAGGACTGCCTGTGCTTGGGTATGGGGTTGTGCCGGTTTGAGCCTAGGCCATGCCCTCAGGCATGCCCCTGGCCTGAATGTTGGTATCTGAAGGGGGCTCAGCGGGCCTCACCTCTGTGCACTCCCCCCCCTCGTGAGCAGCCTCTGGCCTCCCCGCCCCCACCCTCCATCCACCACGTGTCACCTGTTTCCCCTCGGACCCCATTCTCCCCCCCTGCAGCGCTGCTCGTGTTCTACACCGTCCGGCTCATGGGTCTGTGGGTCGTGTTCTGGCTCGCGAACTTTGTCACCATGATCACCGGAACCAGTGAGAAAGAAGGGGGGAGGGGGGGGGGGGGCTGCTAGGGCTCACTGCAGCCAGGCCGGCCTCGCAGAGCGCGGTGCCCCACTTGATCACATGCCACCCTGACCCTGTCGCCCTGAACCCCGCCCCATTCCTCCTCCCCAATCGCAGTGGTGGGCTACTGGTTTGCGGCGCTGTCGCCAAACATGGATGCGGCCAATGCCCTGCTGCCGCTGTACATCACCATTCAGCTCCTCTTCGCCGGCTTCCTCCTGCCCACCGGGGCCATGCCAAACTACTGGAGATGGGCAGCGTGAGTGGGGCGCGAAGGGGTTTTGCAGGGGCAGGGACAGCAAGTGTGCGTGTTTGCACCCCGACTCACTGTCCACCCCCCCTCACCCTCATCGTCGCAGGAACATTGATTTCCTGCGGGTGAGTGCAGGGCCACGACGGCATGCAGCTTTGTCGGCTTGTTCGAGTCTGGTTTGGGACGTGTTGCTTGGGGTGTGAGACAGGGAGCGATGGCAGGCCTGGGGCCTTGGAACAGGGATGGATGTGGTGGAAGCTCCACCCACCCCACACCCTCTGCACGGCGCCCTGCAGTACGGCTGGGGCGCCCTCATGAAGAATCAATTCTATGGGGACCGGAACGTCGAGGTGTGTTCACTGGGATGAGTTGTGGGGCCGGAGTCAGGTGGAGGCAGAAGGTATTGCGGGTAGGGAATTGGTCAGCCCATGGCATCATGGAAGGTGAGTCACCTCGTTTGTTACTGGCTGTTCGCATTCAGTTTCGGTGCATCCCTTCCTCTGTGCAGTATGTCGGCGGGACCATTCTCGGCTTCTACGACCTGGCTGGCATCAACATGTGGGGCTGGCTCGGCATCGAGGTGGGGGGGAGCACACAGGCTTGGGCCCGGGGTGGAATGCATGCCCTTGATCATGCGGGTGCCTCGTCGGTTCCCACACCATAAGCCAAAGCAAAACGTGCCCGACTCCCCACAGCTGTGCTTCTTCGTCGTGTTTGCGGCCTTCACTTGGACGACGCTCCAGTACCTCCGACACGACAAGCGGTGACGGGATGAAGGGGACAAATAATATGCTCTCTGACGGCCACTCTTGCCACCCTCCTGGCCGCGTCTCGTCCAGGGCGCACGCCAGGTGGCAGCTCTCTGGTGCACCTGGATCCCCCCCCCGCCTCGGGATTGAGCTACCACTTGGGCAACTTACGGACACACGCTCTCAGCCCCCATCCTGAAGTTTGATGTGACAGACGTATGTAACAAAAGTTATGGGGTTACTTGTCATGCTCAATGCGGGAAGCTGTTGAGAAGAATACGCTTACTTTATGATACTCGGCAACCAAGCGTTGGCTCGCGCATGCATGTGCACACACATGAGTTTGGCTCGAAACACGCAGAGGACAGAGGACGGGGGGGTTGCCCAGACGGCAGGCGTCCACGCAGCCGGGGCCTGCCTCGGCGGCCCTGGCCTGCTCATCGCTCGGCATGCAGCCCCCCATCCTCCCCTGCCGCAACCACTCACGCCACGCCGGTCACGAGGTAGACCTCGGTGGCGTTCTGGTGCCAGGAGAGGGAGGCGAGCACCCCGAGCTCCGGCTCGGTCAGCGCGCAGCCGCGCGCCTCGGTGCCGTCCAGGTTCCCCCCCCCCAGCAGGCCGTCCAGCAGCGCGGCGCGCTCCGCGTCCCAGCGCGCGCGGCACGCGTCGCCCCAGTGCCGCGCGTGCACGTACCCGGCTCTGTACAGCGCGGCCAGCGCCAGCGCGGCCGACTCCTGGCCGGGCGGCACGTCGCGCGGCCCGCCCGGCAGCTCCAGCAGCACGGGCGGCAGCCCTGCGCGCGCCAGCGCCGGCGCCAGCTCCTGCGCCAGCCGCCCGCCCCAGGACCAGGCGTTCAGGCGCAGGCCGGCGAGGTCGGTGCCCAGCCCGCCCAGCGCGCTTGGCGCGCGGTGCACCGCCGCGCGGGGCTGCCCGGCGGGGCAGCCCTGGAGCGCCGCGCGGGTGCCGTTGCGCGCGTCGTCGGCCTGGAAGCCGCCGCCCTCGCCGGCGTAGCCGTGCGCGGCTGCCTCGCCGCGCGGCGAGAGGCACACCAGGGGGGCGTCTCCCCGCGTCGGCGCCCCGGACGCCGGCTCCTCCGCCGGGTTGGGGCGCAGGACGCCCTCGACCAGCGTGACCCGGCCCTGGAAGCCGTTGTGGGCGATGGAGGCGTGCAGCGCCTGCGCCGCGTGCGGCGCGGCCTCGAAGGCGCGCACGCGGTAGCCGCGGGCGGCCGCCGCCAGGGCCAGCATGCCATAGCCAGCGCCGACGTCGACCAGGGTGGCCGGGGCGGCGTCGCGCGCGCCGGTGCGGGCGCGCTGATGCCTCTCGCAGGCCTCGAAGAAGGCGCGGAGCGTGCGGGAGGGGGTGCTCACGTCCCCGCCTGGCCCCAGCGCGCCGAAGCGCATCAGCGCCAGGCCCGCGTCCACCTGGTCGCCGGGCACACCCAGTCCCAGGCCGTGGTGCAGGACCACGAAGCGCGGCTCCTCCAGGCAGGTGGTGGGCAGGAGGGGGGTCACGCCGGGCGGGACGTAGTCCGCCTCGTACCTGGGTGGTCCGGGGCGTGTGTGCATGAGGGGGGCAGGGATGGATCAGGGTACATGGGCGGATTGAAAACATGATTGGAGGAGTGCGTCCGCGTGTTGACAGGCCGTACAGTGGGTGGCCCTCCGCGCCAAGCCGCCCACGATGCCGCCCGGGCACGGCGCTGCGGATGACCCGGCCCCCTCCCTCCCAAGCACACTGATGCTCTCACAGGGGTTTGGCGGGCGTAGGCAGCTCCCCAGGCTGCTGCTCGCTGCCACCGGCCTGCCCCTCCCCCTCCGACCGCTGCACGTTCCAGAGCTCCTCCCCCTCCTTCACCGGCCCGTCCTTCACCGGCTTCTCCTTCCACGACCCCGTAAAGAGGTGCAGGCTGGACCGCGGCAGCAGCGATCGCGCACCGTCCGTCCACTGGAACCCGGCCGCCACCTGCGGCAGGACGGTCACGGTCGGCGCCCCCACCGCCGCGCCGCCGCGCGGCGCGGCCACGGCCGCGCGCAAGACCTCGTCGGTGAAGGGCCCGGGCCCGCTGCGTTCGATGGTGTCGCGCCGCGGGTTGGCGTAGAAGGTGACATTGGCGGCGGCGGCGACGCGCGCCGCCAGCGCGGCCAGCGCGGGGTGCCCCGCCTCGGCCGCAAACCACCACTGCAGCAGCTGCGCATGGCGCCCGAACTCGCGCTCCGCGACCTCGCCGAGGGGGATGACGTTCTCCCAGGCCGCCACCAGCGCGTCTCCGGGGCGCAGGACCTCGTCCATCGGCTGCAGCGCCGCCACGTCGGCGTCGGCATACACGCCGCCGTGGCGGTGCACGACCAGGTAGCGCCCCAGGTCGGCGCGCTCCACTGCGTGGGGCAGCGCACGCCAGGCAGGGAGCAGGGCCGGGTAGTGCGCGGCCACCAGGGCCTCGACGTCGGCCGCGTCCCACAGGCGGTAGGCATGGCGCGGGTTCAGCACCTGCCAGCTGCGCATGGCGGCGCGCGCGTCGGCGCTGAGGCCGGGGAAGTCGAGGCGCAGGGGGTCGATAGGGCCATGGCGGGGCCGGCGCCAGTCCGGCTCAAACAGGCCCAGCATCTGGTGGATGGTGGGGGGGATGCGGGGGGTGCGGGTAGGGGGGCTCGCCCCTCGGTCCCCGGAGCCATGGGACCGGGCGCCAGCGTGCTGCGACCCGGTTTCTGCAGGGACTTGTGGGGAGCAGCGGCCGTCGGTCTGGCTTGGAGAGGAAACTACGCTGCCCGACACATTGCTCAGGGTGGATCATCGGCGGTCATGGGCGCATTGACGTCGGGCAACAATCGCTGGGAGGAGACCACCCTGCCCTCCAGGGAGATACATGGGCCTGGTGGTCCACCGGCTCATGCAGCGGGAGCAGTGCCAGCCCTGCGCGTCACCACCAACTCCCCCACTGCCTGGCCAGCTGGACCTGCCACTCACCCTTGGGGAAAGCACCGACAGACGTCCATCCTTGGGAGTCAGCACCCCGCATGCGAGTGACGCCCGCCACCAGTAGGAGGACTGCGGCGGACAGCAGGAGGAGCAGGGCCCATCGCCGACCGGCCTGTTCACGGTGCGACGGGGGCCCCGTCCTCGTCTGCGTTCTCCGCAGGAGGGCCGTCTTGAGCTTCAGACCTCCCTAATCCGTGCGGCATCCACCAAGTGCAATCCGAGACCGAGACATTTCCAAGCTCTTGGCAGACAGCCCCGGGAGGTTCCGGTGCCAGGGGAACGGCAGCTGTCGTGGGAGAAGCGCAGATCGGTCGAAGCGCTTCCAAGTACAAGCCCCGGGATGCCAAAAGTGGCGCCCAAGCATCGATTTCAGTCGGAGCGATCGGTTTTTGGAGATGTCCCCAATGTAATATCACCCAGGGGGTGATTGTGGTTTTGTTCCGACTCCCCTGCAAGCTGGAAATCACCGGAGGCGTCGAGTAATATATGATGGAGCGAGGAACGACGTTGAAGTGACGCATCCAGTCACCAGATTCTCCTTATTGAGGTCCAGTGCCAAATGTGGGATCGCAGATGTCCAGTGTCAGGCGCGGGCGATAAGTAGCACAGCACCGCAGTGTTGGAGGTAAAGGGGAGAGGGGGGGAGGTGTGGGGGGTTTCCATGTGTGGAAGCAAGTCCCAAAAAGTCCGCCGAGAGGGAAGGATGGACACTCAAATATGCTAGCTGATTTCAATCCTGCTCTGAGGAAAGCCGTCTGAGCATCGTAGAAGGACACTTCTCAGGGCCCTAAGAGGCTGTTGGAGTAGGTCGCTCTACCCCTCCACTGAGCGACGGACATCCAGCGAGACTTGAGTAATCCCTCGCATCCACTTTCTGCATATGACCACTTGAAATTTCAAGATGTGCTCTATCAAGGCGTCGTGCAAGCCTCGACAGCACATTTGCCCTCGCCAGGCCTAGGTGCTCAGCTCAGGTCGGGGTTGCCGGAGTAGGAAGCCATCGCCGGCACACCCCGCCGTGCACTAGATTCTGTATTACACTATGACACATCCAAAATGGATGTCTATGTCCGAGATGCGGTTTTCACGGGCAGCTCTTCCGGATAGTAAATGCAATCTCCCGCGGCTCTGTGGGTATATCACATATGAAATTCACATTCAGAGCGTAACCTTTTACTTACTTAAGAACAATATGATGATTCAAGCAATACAACAAAATACGTGCGTCGGGTGGTGGCCTTCCCCCCGGTGATAGTCAATTGCCGCAAAAGGGGTCTCAGTGACAACCGCCAGGGGCGCGAACTGCCCCGGCCCCAGCACCTGCACGATCTAAAGCCAGACCACAGGAAACATACATAATTGCAACGAGCCAGGTTGGGATCGGGCAACTGCAAAGAACTCAAAGAATTGAGCCCCTCGCGGTTCGCGAGCAGGTGTAAGAGCGGACATTGGCCCCCACAGAAGATCCGCGGTGATTCTCTGCCACCGCCGTCAGTGTATCTTCCTCCACCATGGCATCTCTCCGGGGCAACCCGTTTGACGGTGAGGTTTGGTCTGCACTAGAACGCGGGCATGCTGGTAGTGCTCCGGCTGCAAACCTGCACGGACATGGAATAGCCGGAACCGGTTGGCTTCCGGTGCCTTCCGTTGCCACGTTGCCGCCTCGTCCGACCAGAAAGGATTCTCGCACGAGGTGACTTCCCATGACTCTGCACTCCGGGACCTCGTTACCGTCTTCTCGCAGACTGGTCGTACTCTAATACTCTCTCCCTCATGACATACTACAATCCTCCCTCGGGCCATGCCTGGGTGGCACGGGGCATTGGGGAACCCGTCAGCCACCCAGCCCTCCGACAACTCGTGGAGGGCGCACTCTGCGAACGTGAGTACTATTGCTACATGCGTCACCAGAATAGATCCGCCATACTAGGGTCAGCGGGACGCAGGCTCGTGAGGGGCATCCGTACCCAACCCTTCCCCCTCCATACCGCAGTCGCAGTTTTGCTGCAAGAGGAAAGCAGGGCGCCACGAGCCGCCGTGGGATGGGTCATGTGCCGCGAGAGGGACCCGAGAGTCCCAAACGCCGCCACGCAGCACGCAAGGCTACACATTCCTTACCTAAAGAACTGGAAATCAGCGTCGACGCTGCGGGAGGAGCCCCTGTCAGCGGCCACGCGGCCGCCGCGAGAGGCGCTGTTTACACGAACGCCGCCGGAAGAACTGCGCTCCCCCGACTCCCACCACGCTCCACCAAGCACAGCCTGGCCCGATTTACTGCGAGGATTCCACCCTTGCAAGCGGGTAGGTGCCAAGGTCGCTCTTCCCGCCCTCCCCGGAACCTCCGTCTCCGAAACCGACCTCGGATGATTGCCTTGTGCGCAGGAGGACATGCTGCTAGAGGAGAACCCTCCGCTGGGCTTCTCATGGCGGGCGAAACGGGTCCGCACGGGCCTGCCGGAGCATCCCAGAACAGGAGAGCCGAGCCTCATCCCCAGGGCCGCCCCAGCCCCCGTCGTCGCCCTAGCCGCGAGCGCCAAATCTCCCAACCAGGGACTTCTAGCGCTTTGCGAGGCCGCCAGTAGCGCCGGAAATGACGATGGTGAGCCAAGCAGCACCTCCACAGTGAGCGCCCCGGGGCTGCAGGGGCCCCGGGGTAATCCCGGGCCGCCTCCCGTGCTCATAAAGTCTGTGACCGCCTCGCCCTTCCCGGGCACTCCCACCTCTCGGGGACCCGGGCCGGGGGTTCTGCTCACGAAGAAGAAGACAGCAGCCTATATCGGAGTCAGAAGGAGACCGTGGGGCAGCTACGCAGCGGAGATCAGGAATCAAATCACTGGAGCTCGAGAGTGAGTAAGGGTTGCAGGGATCCGTCAGGGAATGCCTGTGAGGAGATGAGGGTCTCGAGGCATGCTCCACACCATGGGCCACGACCGCCCTCCACCATGCGTGGAGGTATCCCTTCTTCCTGGAGCCGGGCAATCGAGGGACTGGGCATGTGCGCTAGCGGGGGGGGGGGTTTGTCCGACCACCCTTCGGCAGCAGCTCTGGCCTGCACAGTTCAGCTCTCAGGGCTCCAGACCAGGCCAGACTTGGCGTTCTGAGCACAGCTCAGCACCGCCATTCCCTCAATCTCCACAGGTGGCTGGGCACCTTCGAAACGGCGGAGGAGGCTGCCGTCGTGTACGACATCCGCAAGCGTCAGATCAAGGGGGAGGCTACCAAGTGCAATTTCCCGCCGCTCAAGAACAACGGGCTCGTAGGTGAGGAGCATAGGCGGGCGAGGGGGTGTGCAGGGCCACGTCTCGACCACGCGCTGCAATGACACTGCGCAGGCTGCCCTCCCCAGCTCGCGCTCTTGGTTGCAAGGCCATGGTAGCCCTAGTCAATGTCTTGTCGCCGGGGAGGTGACATGCTCTCGCACCTCCGAAATACCTCCGCGACCCCATCAAACCCTCATTTACAGTTTCACCCTTCCCACACCTGCAGTGGAGAGGGAGATCTGCCCTCACGGCCAGAGCGCCCCCGAGCGTCTCATCCTTCAGGTGCCTGCTGACTGGGCGGCGCAGATTACGCCCAGCGTGCGCGGCCCTGGCGCTGCTGCCCCGGCTGTACAGGGGCTCAAGCATGAGTCCAGCCTGGGACGGGAGGGGACGCTGGGCATGAGCCCCTGCTCCGCCTTCAGAGCCCTGCGAGATGTGGCCTCCTCCGAGCTTGGCAGCCCCACAGACCCGCATGGGCCAGCCTTGGCACTGGACTGACCTGGGGTTGGCCTGTTGTTTCTCCTTTCCCCCCCTCTGGGCGTACGCAGTTTTGATTTCCAGGCGCTGCGCCAACAGCCTGTACGGTAGTCCTGATGTACTGCATTGCTTGCATTCCCCAACATACCCTGACAACGTGATGTTTGTACTGTAATGTTCAGCTGGCGAGCACGGTGTGCGAGGGAAGGAGGTGTATGGTAAGCGGGGGGATCCACGGGATGCTCCTTCCACGTCAGCCGGGTGCTGTCGGAGGGCGCGCAGGAGGATGAGCTCCATACCCCTGATCTCCCACTTCGCAGACTGAAACATCTGTAGTCAATCGTTGCAATGAACTGTTGTTTGTCTGAAACCTGAAGTGGAGTTGGCGGTGCGGAGAGCGGTCGTGGGGTGGTGCGCTGGCTTGAGAGATCTCCCTTTAAAGGGACCCAATCTCACTCCTGAGCTGCCAGATCAGAGTGGAGGTATTTGAGATTGGAATAAATACATCATGAGCTACATCAGCATGCTTGCCGGCCTGCAGTCCATTCGCGTCGCGGACCAGGTAATCTAGGGGCTGAGCGCGTGGCAGGGGATGACGGCACTGCCTCCCACACTTGGCCTCGGCCCTTCACAAGCTTCCCAATCCCCTCCCTGTCCAATGCGCAGATTAGGTACACCACAGAGCTGCGAGAAGTATGGGCGAGTGGAAAGTGTCCATCGAAGCAGGAGGGCCTGGCCTGCGTGGCTGCTCTGGTGCCTCTCCTCACAGCACAAGACGAGCCGGTCCGTCAGACGAGCACAGCAGCTCTGTATTGCCTTCTGGAGGGCCACAAAGCCATCCTGTGAGATCCAGGGGATTGTAGGGGCGAGGGACGGCCAGTCTCACACGTACCTCTGCTCCTTCGTCTTGGATTCAGAGGACAGCTTGAGAATTCCCCAGCAAACCCATTCCCCTGCAATCCCTACCGCATTCCCCAGGCGGGCTCTGGCACTGGAGAACGAGGAGCTGATGGACAAGGTGGGCCAGGGGCTGAGCACCGCCCACCTCATCCAAACCTCTGACCCGTAATGAGACCCTGCCCACCACCTGCTCCTGCCGCCGTCAACCTGAAAACGCAGTGCATGCCCAAAATGACCCACACTCCAGCATGCGCCCCGCCTCAGGCGCGCGTCTAAAGTCTCGCACATCCCTCCTTCCCCTCCGCTCCGTGGGCACAGGTGGTGCTCCAGGCCCTGCGCGGAGTCCGCGACGGTCGGGGCGAGGACGCTGACTTCGTCGCCTTCCTGATGTCGTGCGAGGATGCATGCGTCCAGGTGCGCCTGGGTCCCGGGGCCGGGCCCGCCCATGCCCCGGCGGCCAGCTCCATTGCAAAGTCCTGGTCCGGTCAGCACGCCACGCCCACCGCACACCCGCCCCCCCCCCCTCCCTCGCGCCCACAGGCCGCCTGCCTGCGCACCAAGCTCCTGCTGCGCGTCGTCAGGTTGCTGGACTCCGCGGGGCACAATGCCCTCCGCGCACTGCGCACGCTGAGCCCCGACCAGCTCCGCAAGTTCTCCCTGTTTGACGGCCCCGCGCTCCTCTCCCAGGGCCTCGCCGAGGGTGAGTGCTCCAGTCTTGGGGCTCTTCCTGGCTGCCTGCCTGCCTGGTACCCTCTCTTGTGTATCCCGAGCCAGGCTGCCGTGCATCCCATGTCCCAGCCAACCTCACACCCTGGGCCCCTCCTCCGCCACCACCAGGCACCCTGGACCCGGCGAGCGCCGTGCCGGTGCTGGCCGCGGCCTGCCGCGCGCAGCCAGACTGCCTGACCCAGCTGGCCAGCGCGCCGCGCGCCAGGGCGCTGGCCGGCCTGGTGGGCGAGACCGCTGTGCCCGCCGGCACCCAGGCCGCGGCCGCGGCCCTGCTGGCGGACCTGGCCTTCCGCCCCGAAGCCTCGCCCGCCTGCCTGGAGCTGCTGATCAACGAGGCGCTGCCGCGGGCCTGCGAGGTCCTGCGCGACGGCGGCGCGGGCGAGGCGCTGGCCGGCGCCTGCGCCCTGCTGGCCGCGCGGCTGGCCCCGCGCTCCAAGCCGGCCTGCCGGCTGATCGTGCTGCACATGGCCGCGCTGGCGCCCGCCGCCGCGGCGCTGGTGAGGACGGGGGAGTACGGCGAGGCACGACACCTGCTCAGGGCGGCGGGGGAGTTTGCGAGGGAGCCGTGAGGGGCCAGGGCGGCGGCCAGGATGCGAGCATGTGGCGACAGCTCTGTTCCACACGATGTTGGCCCCCTGCAGCTCTATCGCGGATGCACAGCCCCTCCCACATCCTGTGCCTCGACCCTCATGCAAGCGTTCCATGTGTACTTGGAGCTGTTTCGGGGCCCTTGCTCTCCACAATTATACAACCTCACCGTGCAAGCGATCTGCCGTTGTACAATTTGCAACACAATGCGTGTTCGACACGCCCTGCATCACCGGCTGTCGGGCAAGAGGTGCCGCAGCTTGCCCTCCAAAAACTCCAGGACTGCCGCCGTCTGCTCCCGCACAAACAGGTGCCCGCCCTCAAACCACTGCACGCTGAAGCGCGAGGGCGGTGCTACACCCGCCCAGGCCTCGAGCTGGCCAGGGCTGTACCTGGGGTCGCTCATTCCCCCTAGCGCGATCACTCCACAGTCCAGCGGTCTCAGGCTGCAAGTGAGAAATCAAACATCTTTAGAGTTTGCGAACTGAAAGGCAAGGTTAGGGTGCAAGCGAAGCAGCTTTGCCCCACATAGTGGAGCAAGGCCCCTCTCACAATGCTGTCCTGCCTGCAACCTGCACACCCTCCCCTACCGTCACCTGGAGGGGGTATACGTCTCTACGAGCTTGAAGTCGGCCTGCAGGCCGGGCAGGAGGTAGGCACGCAGCGCCCTGCTTTCCAGATCGGGGTTGGCCCCGTACCGTTGCGTGTACACGCGCCAGAACTCGGCAGCCTCCAGTCGGTGCATAACATGGGAGTCGGGGTTGTGCTCCAGGCCCGCCAGGGAGGGTGCGCGATTGCCGGAGGCGAAGAGGTGCAGGGGGCGCTGCAGGCTCGAGCCCGGGGCCGACAGGAGCTGGGCCACCTCGTACGCCAGCCAGGCGCCCATGCTGTGGCCCCAGAGCACGACGGGGGGGTGGCCTGGCTGCAGGTGGGCGGCAATGCCCTGCACCACGTCCTGCGCCAGGGCCCGCAGGCACGTGGCCTTGGGCTCCTTCAGGCGGGAGTTGGTGCCGGGGAGCTCGATGGGTAGCACCTGGGCCGCGGATGGCGGTGGTTGAGGTGCTGGCGCATGGGAGGGCCCGGAGGTGGCTGGGATGGTCCCGACGACGACCCACGAATGCGTGCGGCTGACCCGTCCTACCCCGCACCTCGACACCAAGAGATATCGGAAATGCCCAGTCGTGGTACATGCATGCCCCCGACCCCGCCATGGGGAAGCATACGAGGCGCAGGCGGACCATAGGGGGCGGGCACTGCCGCGGCCCCGTCAGGACCCATGCATTTCGCTGGGCAGTTGATGCCGCCATTTCAGGGTCTGGGCTGCATTATACCGGGAGGAATGCCCTTACTCCACCGTCAGGGTCCTGGCAAGGTGTTCTCCAGCTGCGTCGCGGTCCTTCGGAGCATGGACGGGGGTGCTGAAAGAAAGCGCGCGCGCCGGGCTGCCCGTGCAAGGTTGTTGAATTCGAGCACTGCTCACCTGAGATCCTGCAGGGAGACGAGCGTGACGAGTCTCGGAATACCCTTATCTATGGCAACGAAAGTATTGCTTGCAAAAACTGTTCCGCAGTTATCCGGTGCCAGCATTCCTTCACTCGCCTCCCCGGGCACGTACATGGCAGTGATTTGACTGCTACAGGGAGATGCAGGGAGCCAATGGCGCCCGCCCGGCGGGGCTTTCGGGGGCAGGGAACCGAAAACAGAGCATCCACAAGAAGGCGTGTGGGGTGTATGGGTCGAGGGATCGAATCGCTGGTCGGCTCCTCCAGGACAGATGGTGGCAGGCACACCCTCCACATCACCAAGTCTGCCTGCCATTCAAGCCAGTCCCTACCCTGCCGTGGTACATGCAAACCCCTTGCACATCCGCCACAGATGGATCGCCACACCAGCGTCGCTAGTCTGCTCCTGAAGGCGGACTTGGCCCCTGACCCTCTGGAGCGCATGCTGGCAATCTCCAGGTAGGACTCGGGGGGGTGCTGCCGCTTGCCATGCCAGGCATCCCTCCCGTGCCAGCTGCTGGTGACGCTGTCATCCAGTCTCTCTCAATATGCAGAGTGGTCATCACCTACACCCTGGACCTCCTCCGTGCCGGCCAGGGCATGGGGGAGACCCCGGTTGTCATCCTGGGTCAGCACATCATGTCCCATCGGGACCTAGGTGCGTTTCGGTGGGGCATTGTGTTGCTAACGAACCAGGAGGCCTTGCATGAGGATGTTGCCGCGCTGGGTTTCTTGGAAGTGGCCTACGGGATGCATCCTCAACGAGGCTCCCAGGATCTGCTCACCATTGCGCGTGCCTCCAAAAGAGCATGACGAAACAGCGCACCCCAGCCATACCCTCAACCCAAGGAAACCGTGCATGGCACCCAACGTTTTCATCTCAACCTCCTGTAACCCCCTCCCCTTTTTTACCTCCCCCCCTTCCCCCCCCTTCGCCGCATGTAGCCGAGAAGCACCGAGGGGATGCGGTGGTGGTGATGCTGCAAGAGATCTGCTCCTACGACCCCGAGGCCCGGGTGACCCACATTCAGGGTAAGGCGCGCGGACCCGAGGTGGCCGAGCTGGCGCTGCAGGCGGTGCCCTCCTGCGCTGTGCGCGCTGCGCGGGGCGCGCTGGGCACCCTGGGCCAGGTCTCCGCCGCGCCATACGTCGAGGTCACGCTGAAGGCACGTGCCGCGAGGGGTCCGCGGCGTGGTGCTCGGGGATCTGATGCGCCGGGGTCGGGAGGAAGATGCCTGCACTGGCAGGCGACTGGGGCCTGCAGACCTGGAGGAGGATGACGACACTCAGTCAGCATGCCTCCCATGTCAGGTTCGGTCTCATCCATTCCTGTCCTCCCCCCAACAACCGCGCCAGGGCAACGGCCGGGTCTCGCTGCCGCGACAGGACGAGGTCTACACCTTCACCCTGCCCCTGCTGCACCTCACCGAGCCGCTCGCCGAGGTGGGAGCGGGGGTGGGGCTGTGAGGGTGCCTGGCATGTGTGTGCTGCAGCCAGAGGCTCGTAAACCCCAGCGAGGCTGCAGATTCCATGCTACAGTGGACGGCGTGCACGCAGCGCTGCTTGCCCACCTGCCGCGATCGGTTGCCCGTGCATTTAACTGAAGAGCCTCATCTCGGATTACCCAAAAAGCTAAGCCTCACCCTTTACCCCCCTTTTCCCCTTCATGGCACGCCAGGTGTGCCCTCTGGAGCTGGCAGGAAACTGCACCGTCACCTGCTCCGCCACGGGCCTGACCCTGACCCTCAAGTTCCGGGACGAGCACTCCGTCAAGGGGTCCATCGTGAAGCGAGGCAGCGAGGCGCGCATCGCCATCTTCTCCGGCCGCTGGGACGGGGCTGTGAACGTGGAGGTGCCGGACCTGGGGGCGGGAGGCACGGTGAGCAACGCGCGGGCGCTGGCGCCCGCCGTGGTGCCCTGGGTCAACGCGGCGCAGCCCGGGCCGCGCCGCCTGACGCGGCTCTGGAGCGCCATCCTGCAGAGCATGTACTTCATGGACGTGCATCAGGTGGGAAGCAGGTCGTGGGGCAAGTGCAGTGTCGCGGAGACTGAGGAGGGGCCCAAGCTGTGCATGCAGGGCGTGGCTGGCCAACAGCGCACGCACAGGACCGCTTTCAAATATCCAAACACTGCTGCCACCACTTTCCGCCACCCCGAAGGCGGCGGCATTCGGGAAGCGGGCAGAGGCGCTGGCGACAGACATTGTGCCGCTGCTCAAAGGATCCTTGCTGTATGAGGTCGCCGAGGGCATCAAGTGAGTAGTCCGGGGGGGGTTTGGGATGGCGGGCGGGACGCCTGTGGAAACTGGACAGTGAAAGTGGGGGTCCCCAAAGCCACCCCCCCCCTTCAATCCCCAAGCACGAGGGACATGGGCAATGCGAGCGAGCATCCTGCGCAAGACGTGCGATTCTGTGCACAAGAACCGCTCGCCTGCGCCGCGCCACATACCAAAGATCCAGACCCTCCCGACCGACCCTCCATCCACACAGGGCCGGGAAGAAAGGGGAGCCCACCGCGATCGAGAGTGCGCAGCCGCCCTCGCGCGAGCCCGCGCTGCCCCCGGCCATCAGGAAGGCGCACGCCGACGGCCGTGCCCTGGTGTACCAGCTGCACTACAGCGTGCAGACCATGGCAGACTGACCGGCCATGGCCATCATGACCAGACATGCACCTCTACCCCTGGCTGCTGTTGTCAGCTCGCATGCTGCTGCGGGTCAGCTTGACGGAGTGCGGGGATGACGGGGGGAGTCCTGGACGATCTCAGAGCGGTGGACGGCACGCTGGAAAGAAGGGCGTGCATACAAAAAGAATATCAGTTCGTTCAACGGTCGATGCATGCGTCAAAAT